TGGTTGGTTGATTAAAGTTGGATCATGATCCAAAGGAAAAAAAGAAGGCCAAATCATTCCATTTTTTTATTTGTGTGTTTCAGTTCTGTAACACGTGCCACAAACTATACACACACACACACACATACCTCCTCCAAAATTGTACGTGAATGAACAACAATAATAATCGAGATGATGATGAGTGAACAAACTGGCACGCGAATGTTTCAACAACATCCAAGTAGGATGCAAAAAAAACGTTGGATCATTCACAATTGAAGCATCAAAAACACAAAGAGAGAGAGATCCATGAACATGAACCAGAAAGAAACCGAACACGTGTTTACTATATACATGTTAGATTTGTGCGGTCATAAGCTCTGATGAGATGTGACCGAGTAACACTGCTGAATCAATGGAATGGCCACTTTTTCAACAATGCACAAAGAATTTTTTTTTTGTTTTGACATTCTATAATTTCGGTAAGAAGAAGAATGAAAAAAAAATTTCAGAAGCCATTCACACACATTGGTGTATTACACAGGATTGGATTTACAGGAGATGAAAAAGAAAATAATTCTCTACCATCAACAAAAAAAAACCTTGTGTATCTAAGTTCAAACTATGACCACGGCCATGGTTTGTATATAACCAATCCCCCACCAACATCAACCCCACATTGAACATATATCTAAACAAACGAACCTAATTGCTAATGCAATTCTATCCTCTCTCTCTCATATACACACACAAACACGCACCAGTGTCCTATGCCCTTAGCAGTCGTTTGATCGACCCAAAACAGTGCCCGAGAGTGTTTTTTTTTCTCTCAGTGATCTTAATGGTGGAACAAGTAGTAGAGAGAGAGAGAAAGAGCGTAATAATCTATGCACTACAAATCCAAAATAATGGAATCATCATGAAATGCAATCACAACACAGTGTTATATAAGAATTTTCGTAACTCTTTCTTCTTCTTAGAATTCGATTACCAATTACCAAATTCTATTCTATTTAGCGAAATTCTAGATTCTCTATCTATTAGTAAATAATGAAGATGATTATTCTGGCAAATGGAAAAGCAAAAGAAAAACAAAATCAATATCACAATCCATTATCAATCTCACTCGTTGTTCCAAAAATTGATTGTCAATGGTGATTAATTATGTGTGATGATATTGGTCCGGATTGATTGATTGATTGATCATCAGTGATAATATCGAATTTGATGATCGATACAATCGATTTTTTGCGAAAAAAATTTTTTTTTTCATTTCCTTCCGGAATTCTGTTTTCTTCTTTGAATAGCCAAAAAAAACAAACCAACTAATTAATCAAATCAATAGTTTCGTTTTGTTTTTTTTTGCCCTTTAGGAATTTGATTCTCACCAGAAGATAAACAACAGCAACAACAGAAAAAAAATCAATTAACGTTAATTGAATTTACTTCTGGTCTTTATTTCTTCTTTTTTTTTTGGTTTTCAATGTCAGATGTCAAATATCAAACATGGGATTCTTTCTATTCAGAATCAAGAATGAGTGTAAAATTCTTTGAATTCTCAAATTACACACTCTCGATGATGATGATGTTTCGCTGTGTGGTGACCAAAACATCAATTCTAGATCATCAATTAGAAATTAATTATTCATTAGAGATACAGTGTTTGATTTCGTTCGTTTATTTGTTTGTTTCGAACAAATGATATGAACTGTTGTATTGACATTCAACATACGTCTGTCATATACAATGAAATGCATCATTGACATTCGGGGTCGATAATCAGGGACCAAATAATCAACGACTACGACGACGACGACAACAACGATGATGATGATGATGACCAGATCATCAGCGACGACATTCGATATATATCCAGTGAGAACGAGAAAAAAAAAGATAGATACCACACAGAGGGAGAGTAGTAAAAAGTTGAAAGTTGAAATCATACTGAAAGGAAAGAGAGAGAGAGAGAGAGAGAGAGGGTAACATTTGTTGTGAATAGGGGAGGGTGAGCATTATGGATAATGATCATTGTGGTGATTTTTTTTCGATTGTAGAAAGGAACAAATAAACAAACAACGAAAAAATGCTGAAACCAAATTTTTTTTTTGTTTCACCATTTCAAACACCAATTTCCGATATCAAGATGAATAAATAAATTTCCGGAAAATTATTCCAAATTCTAATTCAGAATCCATCCATATGATTAACAATACTGTGAGAATTTGTCCATTTTTTTTTTGTTTGTGTGTGTTATTAATCTAGGGGCTAGCTAGATTTTTATTTTTTCACCATTCGCATTCATCCAATCTGTATGGTGAACTTTGACACTCATTCACATACACACACACACACAGTATTTTCATTCATAAACCAAATGTGTGTGTGTGTGTTTGAGATATTGGTCTGTGTGTATGTCTGATAGTCTGAAAACTAGTCTTAGTCACTGAGTTTTTGTGTGTGTATTACCAAAATGAACTACTGAAATGCATGAATATTTGGTTTTTTATCAACAAAAAAAAAAAAAAACCTTGAAACCTCATTTCTTCAATGTTCTGATGACCATCGTCATCATAATCATGGCCACCACCTGATTAGTAGCTTCATGATGATGATGATTGAAAATCGACAACACGAGTAAATGAAAAACAGGAATATTCACAATATTCGAATCCATACAACGAAAAAAAATGTGAAAAAAACAACAACAACAAAATCTGACAGACAAACACAATATGTGTGTGTGTATGTGTGTTATATATCCCAAATAATCGTGTCGTGTCATGTCATGTCATGTCATGACATGCAATGCCATGCCATGCCTTGCCTTTCTAAGAGTGTAAAATCAAGCAAGCTATAATGATAATAATAATGATACGACGCGATGAATTGGTATTCTGAACACCAAAACTGAGAGATGGACAAAAATGAATGAAAACAAAAAAACGATTTGAAAACTGATGATGAAGCCCAAAAAGTTTTTTCTGTTCTGTTTTTTTTCCATTATTCACCCAGATAATAATGTACCCTGGGTTTTCGTTTTTTTCCCTTGTTGTTGTTGTTGTTGTTGCTGCTGTGAAAAAAAAAACAAAAGCAAAAATACGAAAAGCTAGCGAGCTAGGCTGGCTATAGAAAATGCAAAAAAAAAATTTTTTTTTTGGGTCTCGTGTTTGACTAATACTCGCTCTCTCTCTCTCTCTCTTGATCTCTTCAATTGAAATAATGAACATGGAGAAAAAAAAAGTTGAAGCTTGTCATGCATTTTTCAATTTTTACTTACACACACACACACACACAGTATAGTTTTAGTTTTGGGTTTTCATTTTCATTTTTCCTCGTTTATGAATGTTTTTTTTATTCGTTGTTATCTACACCTCTGGCCATTATTTTTTTCCTCGTTTATGGAATTTTTTTTTTTTTTATTTTGGTTCATGTTTGCCAATTGTATTTTTAATGTTGTTGAAACTACTACTAGAAAAACCTATTGACACGCCTCAAAAAAAAAAAAAAAAACAAAATCAACCGACCGACCGACCGACCAACCATGCTTGATAGCAACAACAACAACAAAAAAAACGATCAATCTGTCAATTCATCAGTGGACAGAGTTTCGTTGGTTGGTTGGTTGGCCATCGACACTGGCCAAGCAAGTCTTTTTTTACCTTTTTTAAAAAAATGTGCGCATGTTGAAATCATATCTTGATCATCGTCATCATCATCATCATTTTAGTAAACAGGATGATGGCCTAGCCATCAAGACTTTTCGAAGATAAAATCCTAGGTTTTCTTTTTTTTAAAAAAATAAAATAAAATTAATTATTACCACAGCTAGAGTTTTGGGTCATCGTTTTTTCTTCGTTTTGTTTGGGAAGCAATAAATTTCATCGTTTTTTAAAAATCTAGTTTGATACTTTTCCTAGACCTAGAAGCGAATGTAAATGTCGAATTTCATGGTTTTTTGTTCGGTGGTAGTGGTGGTGGTGGTTGTTTTTTTCAATCATTGGAGTAATTGGTTGGTTGTCTTTATTATAACTTGACTTTAATATTCAACAAAAAAAAAAAAATATAAAGACCAGTTTTATCTGGACAATGGGGTAATGAGCATAAACGATGACAAATCCAAATCAGATGACCAATTGAAAAGTGGCCAGTCAGTCAACCAGCTTGAGGTTTAGCCATGATAATCTGGCAGGCGAAACCAAGGTATCACTGTATTTTTGGGAAAATTATTTCGAATAAATAAATAAATTAGAAAAACGTAACGCCATCTTTTGACCGTATTCATAGTATATAGAAATTTTGTACATCATTTATGAACGGCATTTAAATGCGACTAATTTTTTTTCTTTTTTTTTACTCCCTCTTTTTCTCTTTATTTTTTTTTGTTGTGGTTGTTGTATATCGTTTTTTATTTGGTGATGATTCGGTGCTGTTGTGTACATGCTCGATCATCATCATCATTCGATTTCATTTCGATCTTTCTTGTTTACACAAGAGCTTCAATCGCTGGCTCAATTTTTTTAATATTTGGAACACGCGTTGTTTTCGTTATTTTTCTGTTTTGTTTCAACTATTTTTTTTTCTATTGATTATCATATGCTGTCACTCTATAAATCATCATCATCATCATCATCTTTTGTTTCTCTCACATTCATAATACTCTCAGATACAATTACATATAGGACACTTTTTAATTTCACTTTATCGATTGCAAATTTCGTCATTATTTTGTTTGTCTACATCAAGATATTTAGATACAAGTTAAATAATAATAAAAAAAAAAACACGCATCATCAAGCAATCACACCATACACACAATCATCATCATCGTCGTTGTTGTCGTCGTCATCATCATCATTGACTTTTGTTGGTTATATAGAAAATTGTTTTGGTTAAGAAACAAATCATCGTAAATTTGATTTTGAAAAAAAATTTTTCTTTTTGATTTATATTTTTTTTCTATTTTCTATAGAATCGATTTTTGTTTTTTTTGCATGTAAAGAAAATCTTGGATAACCAAAAACAAAAAAATGGCTACCATTGGTGATGATGGAGATTTGCATTCATCAAATAATAATAATAATAATAATGCAACTGAAGAAGATGTTGATCCAGTAGATGCATATCGTCAATCATTATCCGATCTAGTTATGAATTCTAAACCACATATCGTAATGTTAACAATGTTGGCCGAAGAATCCAAAGACACAAGAGCCGTCGAAATTGTTGACTGTATTGAACAACGTTTATTGCAAGTTAATAAGGATATTAAATTACCTACATTATATCTTATTGATTCTATTTGTAAAAATGTTCGTGATTCATGTTATTTAAAATTATTTCAAAAACGTATTGTTAAACTTTTCTGTCATGTATTCGAAAAATCTGATGAAAAAACAAGACTTTTGTTATATAAACTACGACAAACATGGAATACATTTTTTAGTGCCGAAATTCTTTATCGATTAGATGTAGCTGTCAAAGCTTTGGATCCTGGTTGGCCAATTGTGGCCAGAAAACCTATAGTACAACAAAATGGAAATGATGTTGCTGCTGCTGTTGGTGGTGGTGGTGGTGGTGGTAGTCAATCAACAAAAGAACAAACTGTCAAACAAATTGTGATACCTGTTACGAGAACACAAAATATATCGACAGCACCACCATCATCGAAACCGATTGAAATATCACGATCTAAATCAAAGTTAACCCCGCCATCGCCTACAACTCAACGAATTGTATTTAATAGTAAAATTGAAATTTTATCAGATAATAAATCATCATCATCATCATCGGCGGCGGCGACAAAACAATCATCAACCACCACCGGTGGTACTGTACATCCAACAATAATTCATTTAAATCAAAATGATATCATTTCAAAACGTAATCAAATTGAAAATGAATTACGTAAAGAATTGATTAGTAAAGCTGCAGCTGCTGCTGCTGCCAATAATAATAATAATAATAAAGTTAATAAAAATAATCAATTATCATCAAATTCGAATAAAACTCATAATAATAAAATTAAGAATAAAAATGAACCACAACAACCACCAACATCATCATCATCCGTGTTATTGAAAAAATCGAGCAACAAACAAGAAAATAGTAAAAAATTTAAGAAAAATTCATCACCATCAAAATTGGATCGAAAACGTAAATCTTCTTCGGATGATAAAATAATGATGATGGATGGTAGAAATGATAAAATGATGATGCAGAAGAAAATTAATATAAAAATACCGAAACGTAAACGACTGTCATCACCAACATCATCATCATCATTTCTGGTCATTCATCATCATTTGGTGGTAGCAAACAAATGAAAAAGAATCCATTAGATGAACTTATGGCACCAATGATGATACCACCATCACCTGATGATATTATACCGCTTGGATCGAATCATCATATTCCCGTAACAAAACGTTCAAATGAACCACGTAAACCAAATAATGTGGTGGCATCGAAAATTAAAAATATAAAAAATCGTCGCCAATCACCAACACGACTTCCATTGCCTCCTGTTTCTCAATCATATGCACCATCACATAATCTACCGTATGATAATTCTCCGATAGTGTCGGCACCACCTCCACCACCACCACCACAACCAGCAGCAGCGACAACAACAACAGTTCCAAATCAACCATTTCTTGAACCACCATACGGTTCATCTGCTTTATTCATTGACAAACAATTTTGTCGTCTTTTCTATTTGGATCCAACAACCGGAGTTGTACCATTCAAAGTTCATGCCGATACTCCATTCGATCAGCTAATGTCAACTGATCCAATGTTTTTGGAACCTAAACAGGTTTATTTTTCTGGTCATCCAACCAAAGTGATTATTGATCCTGGTACAGCATCGGAACAAAGTTTCTGTCTAAATTTCAATAATCCTACACCATATTTATTTCATTTATCGGGAATACCACATCCACAACGCATTATGCTTGGTTTACCTGATCGAGAATTAATCGTCAATGATCGACCATACAAAGCTCAATTTGGTGGTGCACCAGTTCCAATCTATTTTGAAGCCGATCTTCAAACACATTTATTTTTATTATCAGATTCAAAACCATTTCTACAAGTATCGGATGAACCACGTTATGATCTTTGGAATCGTTTGGTTGATGAAGCTAAAGCAAAAATGTCACGTCACCAGCAACAACAACAACAACTACCACCACCATCTACAACGACACATCTTCCATTCAATTATGGTCCATCGATTAACAACAATATACCTTCAAATACAATGATATCATCAACTACTAATGTTGTAACAACGAATACATATCTCATACAGCCAACAACCATGCAGCAGCCCGCTTCAACACAAATTGTTTCGGCCGATTTAATGCAACAACCACCAACTAGTACACAGGTGCCATTCAATTATGGTCCATCGATTAACAATATGCATTCAAATATAATGATACCATCATCAACTACTAATGTTTCAACATCAAACATCTATCATCCACAACCAACACCACCAGTTTCAACACAAATTGTTTCGGCCGAATTAATGCAACCACCGCCACCTACAACTACACATCTTTCATTCAATTATGGTCCATCGATTAACAACATGCATTCAAATACAATGATACCATCACCAACTAATAATGTTCCAACAACCAATACCTATCATCTACATTCGACAGCCATGCAACACTCAACTCCAGTTTCAACACAAATTGCTGCGAACGAATTAATGCAACAACCATCAACCATCACTACTACACAGGCGTCATTCCAACAGCAACCAACATCTGCTTCAGCTAAACCGGCATTATCCGATCTTGGTTCATTGCTATCTAAATTATCGGCAGCCGGTTTAATCTCCAATAAAACAGTTTCAACTTTCACTGGAACATCGACAACTACAACGACAACAACTACCAATGATTCGAATAAAATGAAAAAAGCTCAGACCACAGAACCCAAACGATATCTATCGTTGGAAATGTCTCAACTTAAACAATATCATCAATTTGTTATCAATCAACTTTATAATGGACTTCAATGTACAAATTGTTCGCTTAGATTTCCGAATGAATCTGATTCTGGAAAAAAGAGTCGATATTCACGTCATTTAGATTGGCATTTTCGACAGAATCGTCGTGAAAAATTAAACCTGAATTCGGTTCAGCTGCCCTCGCACATCGTCGTCCTTGGTATTATACGATTGATCAATGGATTCTTTACAAAGAAGTTAATGATGATATTGAAGAAAATAATGGCGGATTTTTCGATTCAAATTCAGCCGACAGTCCAAGTAGTGCAGCACATCGTGCAAATCAATTTAATATGAAATTTGCACAATTTAAAGATTGTATCGGTGAATTCGATCAGTTCATCGAAGTAATAAGCTGTGATAATATTAATGTGATGTCAAACAATAATAAAGATGATTCAAATAATCAGAAAATTTGTTCGGTTGTTGCCGATTCTGATGTTACCAGTAATTGTACTGTTTGTAATGAGCCATTCAAAATTGAATGGTATGAAGATGAAGAAGAATGGCGTCTAATCAATGCCGTGTGCTTTTCTGTAGCCGGAAACGATGAGCAACAACCCGCCGCCGTTGGTCGTCCATTTCATCCGCTTTGCCTTAAAGATCATCTGTTGCAACAATTGGAGAAACAATCGATTCAAAATAATGAACATCTTGACGAATGTGAGTTCGATTTTGATGACCCTTTCCTCCTTTGTGATGATCCATTTTTTTCAAAATAATTTTTTTTTCGCAGCCAACCAAAATCTATCACTAAATTCAATGATGATACACATCAATTAAATCAGCTAGTTCTGGTGCTGGTAGTTCATCAATCATACCAGGATTAGATATGCCAATGAAAGATGATGAGGACGAAGAGTCTAAAATCACCATGTTAAAATCGAAACGACGAACGATGTTGAAATGGCCGTCGGTCAACAATCCGATGATGGTGCTGGTAATACCACCACTACTACCGATCTGGCAGGTATAGATTTGAAAAGTGAAAACGATGATCAAAATGATCTTCAAATGAAAGAGCCAGAATCATTCGAAGTTAAAGTAGAGGAATTTGAAATAACAATCGAAACAATTGTTCCACCCTTGGAAACGATGACTGAAACGAGTGAAATAAAATCATCATCGAACATAAGTGACGTAAATGATGATGATGATAATGATGAAAAGCTGACATCAGCGACGACTACGGATGGTGTTAATAAACAGCAACAATCGTCTGAATCGAAACCTAAACGACCTTTAATTGTGCTTAAAATGAAAAATTCTACATCCTCTACATCAATGTCATCGATTCCGCCAATTGATGAACAGCAGCCAACTAGTGAATCGTCAAATACTGGTAATGTATCCTCTACCATCAATAATGATAATGAACATTCCAGGGATAATCCAACTGATAATACTATGGATAATGATGAAAAAATCAAATCAGCATCTGAAGAAGAGGATATGGACAACAACAACAAGGATATTCGTGTGATGACTACAATACCAGATGCCAACAACGCTAGTGATGTTTGCGATGACCATTGTGATGATAATAGTGATGATGATACAAGCAAAAAAACTAATGATGATAGGGATAAACTATTATCTAATAATAAAGTCCAAAATAATAATGATGAAACTACTACTACTACTGCTTCTACTACTACTACTGTTAGTGATCAGAATATTCATCAACCATTGATTGTTGATGATAATGATCATAATAATAGTCAGGTAGATCATGATCATGATGATGATCGTGTTTTTGTTGTTGATGGTTCAAATGATGATGATGCTGAATCTATGGTGACTATAAAAGAATCATCAATGGAGACAGATCAACAACAACAACTAGTGCAATCATTAGATCCGAACGATCCACAGGATGATGTTTCCATCGATAAAAGTCAACCGATGATGGTGGTGAATGCAAAATCGAATATCGAACCAGATGATGATGACAACAATTCTAATAATCTACAAGAACAATCCGAAATTGAACAACAACAACAACAACAACAGCAACAACAACAAGAACAAGAACAATCAAATTATTATACACGAGGTAAAGAAGTTTCATCACTTTGTACCATTATGTAACAATGTGATGATGATGATGATGATGATGATGAGATGATGAAGTTGTTGTTGTTAATTGTGGAATTCTATCTTCATCCATTAATCATTTTCTTTTTTTGTTCATTTTCATTTCATTTCATCGTCGTCGTTACTCGTGTGTGTGTGTGTGTGTGTGCGTGTCTGTGTTATCATCATTATTCTGATGATTGTATAAAAAATTTTTTTTTCATTTCCATTACCAAAAAAAAAAAATCATTCATTCACTTCATTTCCCAATGAATTCATTCATTCATTCATCATCATCCCTAATAAACACTTTTTGGATTCGTAAGAAATCAAAAGTTCACCTTTTTTTTGGCTAAAAAATATGAATAAAAAAAATTATATGATATATGTCAAGAATTTGAATTTGAAAAAAATGATTTCACATTTTGAATTGAATTTTGCTTGTTTGTTTTTTTTTTTTTTTTTTTTTTTGTTCTAAAATTATTATTTTTTTTATCGCTTTTCCATCATCATAATAATCATTTATAATTATCCTGAAATAAAAATTATTATTATTACAAATTGAAAAATTGAAAAAAATTTTTTATTTTGGAAAGTTTTTTTTTTGAAATTGTCATCTATCGATAGTATCGATACTGTTCAAAATTTTGTAAAAATAAATAAATTCTCTATTCGAGTATTATGGATCGTTTTGTTTTGTTTTTGTTTGTTTGAATTTTTTTTTTCATTTGAAATTTATACATTCCATACAATGTATTCTGTGATAAAATGATAAATTTTATCCAATTTCGGCAATATGGCTAAGCGGCAATATCCATTGGCGAAAAGTTGCCAATATAATGAAACAAATGGCCACCAACGATTGTGTAATATTCATCAAGGATTCAATCCATTTATTGATCAATTAGCTCAAAAAGATGCTATGAGTCTTATAAATGAACTATGCCATTTGCATAAGATTAAACCGGAATATGAATTGATCGATGTACAAGGTCCAGAACATGGTAAAATTTTCACAGTTTATGTAAAACTTGGTGTTTCAGAAAAACATAATGGACAAGGTAGTTCGATAAAAAATGCTCAACAAAATGCTGCATTCAATGCATTGGAGAAAACTCGATTAAAATTTCCGAATTTCAAACAACATAATCGACGAAAATTCACATCGACTAATCAAAATCATACACAACAACAGAAATCGAAAGAAAAATTTGATGAATTAAACAAATTATTCATTCAAAATGGTATTCAACCTCGTTATCAATCGAATCAACAATCCGGTTCATCATCATGTTTTCTGCAACCATCTACTACAAAGTTTACAACGATAAATAATTCTTTGCTGCAAACATCGCCGTATCAAAATCCAATCATGATCAATCCATCAGCGCCAATTACTCAGCCATATTCAACTAATCAATTCCATCATCATTCTCAACTATCATCAAACATTCCATGCTATCAGCCGATTCCTGCAAATATTACATATTTTAATCCTACTTATTTCTGTGATCCATACACTAGTAAGCAGTATCTTATTTATGAACTTGTAAATCCTGGTTATATTCCGGTGCCAGCTCCTTCATTTGTTTCTAATATACAATCAACGACAAAGTCAAGAATGAAATTGCAATCTGAAATCAATGAAAAACGATTGAATGACCATGCATACGAAGCATCAGTAGAGTTTAATGGTGTTCAATTTTGTGGCAATGGAAAAACACTACAAGAGGCTAGACAGATTGCCGCTCAAAAAGCACTTGATCATCTTAAATCGAATCTATTCAACGAAAATAAATCTAAAAATTCCATGGTCATAACTGAAGATCAAAAATCCAATAATAACAATAATTCTGTGATTGATCCAATATCAACATTGAATCATTTGGTATCACGAAATCGTTATAAAATCAATTTCCATCTTGTCGATTCATATGGACCACCACATATTCCTGTTTTTATTTATTGTTGTCAATTGTTTGATGCGCAAAATAATGGAAAATTATTGATTGAAACTGAAGGCAGAGATCGGTCGAAAAAATTGGCTAAAAAACAAGCTGCACAGAATATGTTGATTAAAATCGATGTTGATCATTTGAAAAATATTGCTTCACATAAAACTGAAAATGTTGATACCACCGATCCAACGCCATCATGTTCGAGATCTGATGAGAAACTAAACATAAATCAAAATCTAGATTCCGTATCGAACAAGTCATTAACGCTTCTTTATGATTTAGCTAGAAATATGTCTTTAAAAAGTCCAACATTTAATTACTCATTTCTCAGTTCAAATCATTCGATTGCTAAACGTTTCAATCAACAACAGATTATTGAATCAACCAAAGGTCAGATTTATCGTGTTGAATGTACATTATTTTTCGAACAAATTACACCAGATAAATTCATGTACTGTATGAAAACTGTTGGATTTTCATTAACACAACGTATGGCCAAACAGATTTCGGCTTTCATCTGTTTACTTCGATTAGGTCTGGAACCACCTAGATTCGATCAAAATGATGAATTATTTGTTGAATCTCTACGATTTTCATTGGAAATAGCAACAAACAATTCTAACAGTAAAGAATTTCCTAATGAAGAAAATATACGTAAATTTTGCAATAAAGAAAAAAATATCGAAATTTTCTACAATGGTGATGAAGAATCTATGGAAGAATTGTGTATGAAAAATTTTGAAATTAACAAAAAATTCATTTTATTCATGGCAAAAAAATTCTACTATTATTCATTGAAACAACAATCAACAACAAAACCACCCAGTATTGGTGTGATCCGGGAAAAAATACCATTTTTATTGATGAATTTTGAAAAAAATTTTCCAACAACAAGTAAATTTCAACATTTCAATGAACAATCAATACAACAATTATTATCTACATTTGATATGGAAAAATATTGGAATCATTTACAATTTATAGCCCAATTGACAACACTTGGTATTGTGGATTGTTCAAAATTGGCCATAGAATTTCATTGTCATACTATTCGTATTGATATGAATGATTCACATTGTATTGCATTTATAAGTGTTCGATTCAATGGCAGCTTAAATTTTGATCTCATACATAAACATTATATAACATATGCATTTGGCCATGATGATGATGATGCTCGTGAAGCGGCAAGTCTTCGTGTATTGCATAAAATTTCTACAAATGCATTCAAACAAATGATGACAATCGATTCGATTGAAGAAAATATTAATGAACAACAACAATCATTGCAAAAATTATCAAATCATTCAAAACCATCATCGAATCAAATGAAAAGTAAATCAATCATATCGAAAATGTATCAAATATGTCAAGATCTTTTCATTCGTAAACCTGAATTTCTATCTCAACATTTCAATAATGATAATTTATATAGTGTTCAATGTTTGATTCATTTTCGTCAAGATTCCAATAAACTTGTTGGTAAACTTTCAATAATGGCTATATCGGCTAGCAAACGATCTTCGCAAACAATCATTGCATACATATTTTTGTGCATTGCAAATGTTTCCAAATTATCATTATCACAACTAGTAGATGTTTATAGTATTCCTGATTTTAAAAAATATTTAAAAATTTCACTTGCTTCCAATACTACTGAAATTGCCAATCTAGTCATGACATTCGATTCACAACAATTCGAACCGGCTATTTATAGTGATGAACAACGTGAAGATATTGATCGAAATATTGAATTCATTGAAACGCTTTTAAAAGATGTTTATAGTTCATATTTAAAAAATCAAAAACGTACAGATCCAAGTTGTCTATTTCAACGTGTTGAAGATAGATTATTCGAATATCATAATCATCGAAAACAGATGCTAGATCAAAGTGAATCATTTGATCGATGGAGTGAACATATTAGAGAATGGATTAATCATCAGGTGACTGAAAAATTTAATCGAAAAAAATATTGGCATCATTTGCAATTAATTTCATTGATTGCTTCTACATTGAATTCTAATCTAGCCATGTCTATTGATCCATTGATTTTTGAATTTAAATGTCGATTATTATCGATTGATATCGAAAATGATGACGATGATAATTCCATTAATCAAAAAGGAACAATTGCTTTGATAACCATTCATTGTTCATCAAAAGAATTTGTTGATCATTTTCCATTATTACAAAAAGAATTTCTTAGTTTTGCTATTGATTTGGATGAAGATGAAGCACGTGAAATTGCCAGTTATAAAGCACTTCGTTATCTTTCAATTAATTTATGGAAATCTATTTGTTGAAATATTGGTGAATAAAAGAAAAAAAAATTTCACAACAAAAAAAAATTCTATCCTATCCTATATGAACGGTACATGCGCATGCTATTTTTAAATCTGTCGGTATCATCATCATCAACGCATTGAGTTATCACACATGTGATCCACAAAGTGCCTTTCTGGTTTTTTTTGCGGAAAAATTCATTCGATTTCATCATAATTTTTTTCCAACCAGAATTTATCAATCCTATCCTTTTTATTATAGATTGTTTGTTTACCATTTTTTTTACGAAATGATAAACTGAATGTTTTTTTGCGAGTGATTGTTAGGCAATTTTTTTTTATTATTCTCATTGATTAGTTTTTGGTGTGCGACATTCATCGAAATGAATACCTTTTTCGGTAACACTGTCAAACATCCGGCATCGACCATTAGATTGATTACATTATCGTTAAATGGTGCACATCCATGTGGTAGCCATACGCCTCGGATATGGCCACATTCATGTTTCAATGTAAGTGTGTTTGTGAATGAAAATTTTTTTTATAATAAAAAATTTTTTTCTTTTCCCCACTGTTAAATACAAGGCTCGATATATGACAAATAATAATCGTCAAAATAAAGGATTTTTGGGACAAATATTCGATAATCTAAAAGAAGAATTAGATAAAAGTAAAGAAATGAAAGAAAATTTACGAAAATTTCGTGAAGAAGCACAAAAACTTGAAGATTCAGAAGCGTTGAAAAAAGCAAGAAAAAAATTTGTAAGTATTCGATTTTTTTTTAATTTCATAAAACTTTTCATTTTCTACGATTAAAAAAAAATATGCAGCAAAACATTGAAGCAGAAACTAGTAAAGGTTCAAAACAAATTATTGAACAAATCGATACGATAAAACAAAAACTAAGTAAAGGTTTAGAAGATGCAAGTAAAACCGATATTGGTAAAAAAGGTAAAGAAGCGGCAGAAGAATTGTCGAAACAAGCGAAAAAAGCTGCCGAACAAATTGAACAGATTTCCAAAAGTGATGCTTTCCAAACCGTATCGAAAACAGTGCAAACAGTGAAAGAAGAAATTGGTGAAACACCATTATCAACGGCACGATTTTATCAGCCACCGGATAAACTTCGTAAACGAAAAGAATACTCTGATCAATTTGTATCATCACGACCTATACAGCCTAATGAGTGAGTATCATTCATATATTAGTGATGATAATTTGATTAATTTAATTTTTTTTTCCGAAAAAAACCTAGAGAAGCAACCGGTGTTGAATTACATAAAGATTCAAAATGGTTTTCAAGTTGGCAAAATTTTAAAGATAATAATCCATATGTGAATAAAATATTTGAAATGAAAACCAAACTGGATGAAAGTGATAATCCATTGGTTCGTGCATCACGTTTAGTTACCGATAAGATGACAGAATTGTTTGGCGGAATGTTTACAAAAACTGAATTATCCGAAGTATTGACCGAAATTTGTAAAGTGGATCCGAATTTTGATCGACAACAATTTATCAAAGAATGTGAAACTGATATCATACCGAATATATTGGAAGCCATACTTCGTGGTGATCTTGAAGTGCTCAATGATTGGTGTTATGAAGGTGTAAGTATTTTGTTCAATATATTTTATTTTATTAATTTCTATTTTTTAAATTATGAATTTTACAACCACACAGGTATACAATGTATTGGTGACACCAATCAAACAAGCACAAACAATGGGCTATCATTTTGAATCCAAAGTAATTGATTTAACAAACTTGGAATTAGAAATGGGCAAAATGATGGAACAAGGACCCGTATTGATTATAACATTTCAAACACAACAAATTATGTGTGTAAAAGATTCAAAAGGAAAAGTAGTGGAAGGTGATCCGGTATGTTTTATTTATTATTATTATTGGATTTATAATCTGATTTATTTATTTATTCCGATTGAAAAAACAGGAGAAAATTATTCGTGTACATTATGTTTGGGTACTATGCCGGGATCAAAATGAATTGGATCCAAAAGCAGCATGGAGATTATTGGATCTTTCAGCCAATAGTGCTGAACAATGGTTATGAAACAAATGTGGATGTGATTCCTTCATTTTATATAAAATTTTTAAAATAATTTTTCTGTAAATATTCCATTTTTTGTTTGTTCAACAAAAATAGTCTAAATGTTAGTCCAATTGATGATGCAAAATAAAATTTTTTTTTCAAAATTTGAATTTAAAATTTAAATACAAAAAATGCGCTAGCACTCATTAATTTACCCGTATAAAATTTTTTTTGGATTCACGCCACTACCAGCATTTAAAACATCGTCATTTTTTTCAATGTTGGGCCAACATCATCAAAACAAAACAAAATGATGCATGATGAATGTATCGGCCCGTAGAATAAAAAAAAAATTTTTACAAGCAGCGGCATTTGGTGCATATATACACTATAGAAATGAAAGTATGTGTGTGTGTGGCAGAGAGAGAGAGAGAGAGAGAGAGAGAGATGATGATAACAGCAATGAAAATAACAACAACACACGAACTACCGCCAAAAAAAAACATCAAATACACGTACACACACACACACACAGAGACAAAATAATACCTCGAATCAGCTACATCCATTGGATCTCACTTTCTCTCAATTTTTCTTGCCGCTTCTTTGTGTAGCAAAAAAAAGTTTTTATATGGCCCGTAATTGATGTGTTTGTGTTGTGTTGTGTTGTATTGTGGTTGGTTGGTTGGTTTTTTTTAATATTCGGCTCATGGATAAGTTTGTTGTCGTTTGATGATTTGTTTCATTCATTCATTCATTTGTTGTATATATTTATCTTATGTGTATCCAATGTACGTGTGTGTGTGTGTGTATATATTGAAAATAAAAAAAACTAAATACAACTGATGATTTGTGTTGATCAAAAAATTCGACGACGACGACGGCAGCAACATTATCATTAAATCTTGTTTTTTTTAATGAAAAGTTTTTTTTTGAATTCGAATGAATTTATTCATCATCATCATCAATACACAACAAGTATCGATTAAACAATCGAAATGATATCGATAGAATTTTGAGGGTATAGGAGAAAAAAAAATCCAAATTGATTCAATCTACATTTTAAATATCAAAACAAGTGCAATGTCATCAACATTATTAACTACTGAACCAGATAAATCTCGACAACAACAACAACAACAACAAATCCTGGTGTCTACAAAGGATTCTAATCCTAAAGCAACATTGTCAACAAATCATTTGATCAATATTGCAAAGACAACATTGGCTGCTGCTGCTATTGGGGCCAATAATCAACAACAACAACAACAGAATTTGGATACGAAAAACAATAAATGTGATACCTCAAACAATGAATTATCGAACAACCAGGAACAATCATCGAAAAAAAGAAAAAATGAAAAAATTTCCAAATCAAAATCATTGAATTCATCAACCAAAGATTCTATTATGTCAGAATGTAATATCGTATCATCCATTGTACCAGGACAAGGCGAAAATGGCACGTCGGATCTTCATCATCATCATCACCATCATCATCACCGTCGACATCATCAACACCATCATCATACAGTTGTACAGAAAACGGAAAAATTAATTATTGAAACTCGGAAATTGAGTGTTGTTGAATCGACGGTACAATGTACAACGACCACTACTTCCCCTAGCCATCATCATCATCATCATGGCCATCATCGACGTCATCATCATAAACAAAACCAGCATAATCGGCACAATCATTATCCTAGGAATAATCTTCGAAAAGGTCGCCACCACCGTCACCATCATAAAAATCATGGCCATCATCATCATCATCAAAAATCCAAATCTTTATCATCATTGAAAACAAATGTTTTAACAACAAAGACAAGTACATCATCATCATCTGATTTAAAATGCCACCATTATAAATCACTTTCGATGCCGATCTCACAAACATCAACAAATTCAGATTTATTAAGCAACAATGAAACCGGACAACAACAACAACAAATTCAGAGCTTAAAATTGTCATCATCTTCGTCGTCGAAAAAATCTCAAAAGAAAAAACATTCTAGTCAACAACAAAAACAAACTTTACAGAATTTGCAAACAATATCTGGTGATGAAATTTCTCGAAAAACAAAAGAGGCAGCAACAGAATTGGCCAATGAAACGACGATAAATAATCGCGAATCAAGCGGGTTTTTTGAACAGCCAACAACCAACTGTGATTCATTATCATCATCGTGTTCATCGTCATCAAATTCATCATCGAAACATTCCAATGGATCATCATCATCATCATCATCATCGACAACATCGTCGTCATCATCATGTTCTTCCGATAATTCAGACGAAGATGATAATGATACGAATTCTAAAGCAATAAAAGAAGCTCAACGTTCAGTGAAACTAAAACATTGTCATCATCATCATCATCATCAGAAGAAGAAGAAAAAGAAGACAAAATCATGTTCCGGTTCTAGATCATCAAAGTGTTCAAGAAATTCTTCACGATCAACATCATCATCTTCTGGATCATCTTCATTGGAAGAATCTGGTGATGATGATGATGATGAATCCAAATCATGTTCATCTTCAAACGGTTCATCATCATCGTCGTCCTCATCATCATCAACAACAACAACATCATCATCATCATTTACCTCTAGATCCGGTTCATCATGTAGTCAATCATCATCTTTAAGCAATAATAAAGGTATCGAAGATGTATTGACGAAAATTTCCGTTGCAGGAATGACAATAGATAATGCGATATCTGAATCTTTGGTGGAACAACAGCAGCAACAACAACAACAACAACAAACTGCAAGTAAAACGACAATGATTCAACAGCAACAGCATTCATCCATATTTTCCGTGGATACCATTTTGCAACAACAACAACAGCAGCAGCAAACAACAACAACAATCATCGATGAAAACAACTACTACTGAATCGTCTTCAAGCTTTCAATTTCAACATTCGACAATGCAACAATTAGCACAGACTACTGAAACAACCAATGTCCAAAAATTGACAAAAGTAAATAGTACTTGCTCATTATCGAATCCAAATACACCGGATTGTTCTAATTCAATGATTGAATCACCAATGTCGGTGGATAGCCAAAAATATGGCATATCAACAACATCTACAACATCAACATCAACTACCACAACGACAACAACAACGTCTATGGTTAAAAAACGTGATCCAGCCGAAGAACGTCAAAGACTTCGAAGTTATCGTATTGCTCATCATCAACAATCACAGAATCGAATATTACCATCACAAAAATCATCAACATCAACTGTTTGTGCTGTTTCTTGTTCGATATCAACATTGACAACATCAACTGTTTCAAGTTCAACATCGGTGAATGCTGTTTCGAATATTAAAACATCATCATCATCATCATCATCTTTTCTTCGTCGTCGTCGTCGTCATCATCTATTTCAACATCGACAACTACAAATTTAATTCAAAATACAAATAGTGCAATTTCAAAATCCATAAGTACCAATAATAAAACGACAATGATGGCAGCAGATAGTACCAGCAGTGAAACATCATCCACAACAATAATGACAACAAATAATAATAATAAAAAAGAACAAATTCAACGAACTATGGTCAATAAAATTGTTCAACAACAACAAACTGTTCATCAACAGCAAAATTTATCCAATTCGATAAAATCTTCGTCATCATCATCATCATCGAAATTATTATCTTCCGCGAATATTTTGTCATCATTAGCATCATCATCATCGACTTCGGCAACGGCATCAGTATCGACAATAGCCAATAATGCCAACAAATTTATTCAGGTTACATCACAAACTGCTGCAGCAGTAGCGGCTGGTAATAATTTTTTAAATCCATCATTTTTTCTTCCCGGAACTACGCCCACATTTTCAACTGGATTTCATTCAGCAGCAGCTAATTTTCCAGCATTTCATTCAGCATTTATGCCAACAATTTTTAATCCACAACTTTCGTTGAATAATATTCAATTACCGTTACTGCTACTACTGCTAGTAATAATAATAATAAAACGATTAATCCAGCTAATACACAATTTATATCCAATAGACAGAATCCATTCTTTCCTTTACATGCTAATCAATCACATCATCATCAACAACAACAACAACAACAACAATCTCAATTGACTATATTTACATCACCACCATTATCAACCGGATCAGCTACAGCAGCAGCAGCAGCATTATCACCATTTTCATTTCCTGCCGCAATGCAACATTCAACATTATTGTCAAATACTCCACAATTTTCACCATCATCATCAGCTACAACAGCGGTATCAGCAGCAACTGCAACAGCTCCATTATTAATGCCAAAATCTACATTGAATTTTCCATTTCCCGGTACTGATCCATCTTCAGCTGCTGCTGCTGCTGCTGCCGCTCATTCTTTAATGATGTTTGGCCTTACATCGGCAAAATCATCCGCTACTGGTAGTTTATTGTCCAATACGGCATCATCCAATGCAATGACATCAACAACAACAACAACAACATCGCCACCATTTATCTTACCTCGAATCGTTCAAACAACTTCCTCACAACATAATCTAACAACAGCTAATGCAGCAAATACGACTGTAATAGCAAAAAGTTTACCACAACAACATCATAACAAATCGAATAAGGATAAATTATTAAATATAAAACAAACGACCAATTCAATATCATCTTCTATACAGGATGTAACTAGAACAAATTTTGGAACCGGTCCTGCCATTACAATCTTACCGAATACCGTATCACCGAATCATCCACATCATCAGGCAGCACATCATTCTGCGACAAATCAACAACATTCACCATTATCGACAATAATATCACCACAAACATTGTTATTATTACAATCACCATTACAATCATCATCATCATCATCATTATCATCATCATCGGCACAAGTGGCAACAAATTCATTTTCCAATAATAATCAATTGGTTCATCATTATGTTCAACATTCTTCATCTGTTGCATCGATGATTACTTCAAATTCCACTACGAAATCATTAACAACAATTAAACCGTCAATAACAACAACAACAACAACAACGGCAACAATTAATATTGTTGGTTCGCAAGCAGCTAAAATGTCTCAGCCGTCATCATCAATTTTGACAACAACTAGCGCAACTAAAACTGCATCAGCATCCACAGCAGCTACTATTAAACCATTGACAGCTACTAATACAAATAGTTTAATTTTGGCACCAAATTCTGCTTTAAATCCACATTTGCCATATACTTTATTTTCACAACCATCACCAGGTTTGATGCAACCAATTTCTATTCAAGCACCACCACCGCCTGCTCCATCTTCAGTTTTTGGAACACCATTATTATTATCAGTAATTTCACCAACCGGTCGTAGCGGTCCACCGCCACATCATCATCCTCAGCCACATCAACAACAACAATTTCATCGTTCTAATCTTTCAAGTCCTGTGATAATAGCCAATGCTCCTACGACAACAACAACAACAACAACAGCAACAACACCGATAACGTTGATTCAGAAGAATTCAGAATCAAAAAATCAAAATTCAATTAAATCACGACAATCTGAATTGAAAAATATACAACCTAAAATTGAGAAATTAGCTCCTAAAACAGCTCAACTTTCTATTAAACTTCCAGAATCAAAGAAATCATCATCATCATCATCTACCGAGTGCAATATACCGACAACAACATCGAATATAATTACCTCGAAAACATCAACACCGGTAACAGTAACTACCATAACGTCTCAACAATCTCAATCTTTGTCGTCGTCTTCTACGAATGAAATTTCCACAAATAAACCACAACAATCATCAACACAATTACAATCGGATATTCTGGTAATGAAATCACCACAATCAGATGAATTTGAAAGTCTAGTTCGTTCGGTGAAAGATACAATCGATTCTTTTAATGCTGCCAGTTCTGGTCTAAGTGATGTCGATGATAATGACAACAACAACAACAACAACAACAACAACAACAACAACATCATTCTCCAAAACAACAATTGAAGCAATCGAATAAACATACATCATTACCACCACCACCTGCACCACCACCACCAGTGTTGAAGCAACATCAAACTGGTGATAATTTATTGAAATCATCTGCATTAGATCAACCGCTTGTGTTTCCGATTTCAACGAAACAATCACCAAAAACAAATGATGTAAAAAATATTCAAAAAGAAATGGATCGAAAACCATCGGCGGCACCATTACAATCAAAATCAATAGATGATGATGGTCATCAAGCATTGGTAATTGGCAATGATAAAACTATTTTGGATTTGGAAAAAAAGAAAAACAATCATAAAGAAATGACAGTCATTCATAATAATAATACTAATGTGGGTAAAAGTTCGAAAAAGAAAAAACATCGTAAAGAAAAATTACGATCATCCAAATCCATTTCATCTTCTGCAAATGATTATAAGAAACATAAATCGAAACAAAATAAAAAACGAAATTCATCATCATCAAGTAATAATAATGGTAAAAAAGGATTTTCCATCTTATCGACAGGCTTAGATGGTGGCAAAAATTCATCGACATCATCTTTGACCACAGCATCATTATTTGATCCGATTTTGATGAATAAAATTGACTCGATTATTCATTGGTTGAAATGTTTGCATTTAACGGGCACTAATGGCCCAACTATTGATCATCATGCATTGCATCCATTATTTCGACAATGTACATATACGAAATCATCAATAGGAAAGATAACTAAATCTAGTCGATTAATTGCTTCACATCATCAGCGACGATCCACGAATTTGACATTAAAAACGATTACAACGGCAACATCCAACATTGGTAAAGATAATAATATCATTATTATAAACAACGGGCTGAATAAAAATTCATCATCAGATGATAATCAACGATTATTACCATTAAAGAAACGACAACATCGTCCTGATGAACAAGAACCATCTTCATCATCATCATCATCATCATCACCAAATCAATTTTCATCAGCAACATCCGTATCTGGTGGTGGTGGCGGTGGCGGTAAACAGAAAAATAAATCTAAAAGTAAAACAGCAAATTCATCGACCTCTGTCGATTTAATTACGCCATCCCCTCCATCCACAACTGTTGTTAATACTTCAAGTAAAAGTGTAAAATCAGTTGGTTGTGGTCATCCTCGTCCCATTATTCCTGCTAAAATATTTCCATTGCTATCATCATCCATCATTAATAATAATAATAATAATAATAATAGTTATGGATCAAATATTCGAAAAATATCCAAAGAATCAGTGCCGCCATCGAACGTTCCAAATATGAACAAAGATAATGTAGCAGCCGAAAATGTTACTAATAGTAGTAGTAGTAGTAGTAGTTATAAAATAAATAAACAACGAGAATCAAAAACAACAACAACACAACCACCACTACGACAATCTTCATTAGATTTGGAACTAAAATTATCGAAACAACATGCTATTCCAAATGATACAACCACAGTATTGGATAAACATGTTGGTTCAACAATTTCTAGCAGCAATCGTAGAAGTGGCACAATTACGACAATAATGAGCCAATCGAATTCGAGTCAAGCTAAACGGCAGCAAATACAATCATCAACAACATCAATAGTAGCAACAGCATCATCATCTTTGTCGTCGTCGTCGTCGTCGTTGTCGACGGAACAAAAAACCGCCGAATCTATCGTTGATCTATTGTCGAATCAACAACAACAATCAATAGAAACCGGCCGGATTGTTGGTGTAGGTGTAACGAAACGAACAAAAATTCAATCAACAACCAGAAATAACACTGCCATTTATCGTGATTATATCGAACAGCAACCAGGTAAGGATTTTTTTTTTGCCCGCCAAAAAAAATTTTTTTTTCTTTATTTTTGATTTCGGTTATTTTACTTTATCTTTTTTTTCAACTTATTTATTAGTATCATCAAGTGATAAAAATTATTTAGTTAATAATGAATGTGATTGCCAAAATGTCAATGATTTAAAATCATCATCGTTATCAAAAGTGACCAATGTTGATTTAGATGAAGCTGATGCTGATGACGAATTTGATGGTACCGATGACGAAAACGAGAATAAAACAACAACAATTACGAATGATGATAATGATAATCGATCAAATTGTGGTAATAAAAAGAAGAAAAAGTGTGAAACGAAACGTAAACAAGAATTACAAGCTAAAAGTGTCGACAAAAATTTATTGAAACACGAAATAAAAAATACAAATATTAACATTAAATCAAAGAATATTCAACATTTATTTTCAACAAAAGACGAAGATCTCAATAATTCTAGTGAAAATATGTCACGCCAATCTATTAATGCTGCTGGTGGTGGTGGTGGTGGTAATAATAATCGTACATCAAAATTAAGTAGCTCAGCTACCATCAATGAAACTAATACCGTAAAATCTAAAACCCAGATGAACAACAAAAAATCTGGTTTAGCTAATAATAATAAGAATAAAGAAATTGCTCAAACTGCGAATACCACCGTTGTTGTAGTTGATACTAAGAAAAATGATTCGAAAACTAATGAAGCTCAAAAAACAATCGCAAACAATAATAAAAAGAAACGAAGACGTGTTATCAACAAGACTGGATTTACAAAGCCAAGAAAACGTAACAAAACTGTTGTTAATACAAAAAACAAGAATCAAAATTCTATGAATCCAATAATGATGGCCGAAGTTAATGACAATGAAACTATGATGAAAAAAATTGTCAAATCAAAAAGTCAAACAACAAAAAATAAAATGAAAAAATCAAGTGAATCATCATTATCATCATCATCATCATCATCATCATGGTCATCATCTGAAAGTGATGCAAGTAAATCTAATAAAAAGAAATCCAATAAAAAAAATACAAAGCAGAAATCATCAAATTTTTCAGATTCCGATTCTACAAGTATACATTCATTTCCAACTGGACAATCGACCACTGCAACAACATCGTCGACATCAAGTCAAGAAGATGATGATCCAGATTATCCTATCTATATGGTTACTGCTCCATCAAATAAACAGAATAATAGACATAAAAAAGTTTATCCCATCAAATCGAATCCATTTATAAGGCCAATTCCATCGAAAAAATATTATCAAGCTGGACTTTATTCAGAAGAATTTATTCAATTACATTCTGATGAATATTTTGCTTCAAAAACTAATGATAATTCAACGACGACGAATAATGATAATGATAGATCTTTTTCGAATGTTCTAGTCAAAACTGATGATGATAAATCCAAGACAACAACATCAACTTCTGAAAGTGATGACAATAATAATAGAAATGATGCTCAAAAATCAATTGATAACAAAACATGGCCAAAGCCAATATTACCATTTCCTCCGATTTGCTTACCATCGTCATTTAATTCATCCAAAGATGGAGAAATCGATAGTACAAAATCTAAACAACATAACAATGATTCGATTCCTAGAAAATTTCTTCCACAAGATCCAAGTTTTCGACAAGATTTTCATCTCAGTTTCGATATCTGGTATCAATATAAATACAATCCATTTCCATTGTTGATGAGTTCTGCCAATTATCGTCGTGTACGTCAAAATGTTTTTGTCGATGTTAAACCTGTAGCCACTGATTCACAACAATCATGTAGTTGTACAATGCCAAGAAGCCCGAACGAATCAGCATGTGGTACCGATTGTATTAATCGTATGATGTATCAGGAATGTTGGCCACAAACTTGTCCAGCAAAAGATAAATGTTCAAATCAACGAATTCAACGTCATCATTGGAGTCCTGGATTAGAACGATTCATGACCAGGCATCGTGGTTGGGGGATTCGAACTACCGAAAAAATTCAAAAAGGTGAATTTATTCTCGAATATATTGGAGAAATAGTTAGCGATCGATTGTTTTTGAAACGTATGAATGAACGCTACAATAATGATCAACACCATTATTGTTTGAAAATTGAGCCTGGTGTTGTCATCGATGGTTATCGTGTTGGTAATGAAGGTCGTTTTGTCAATCATTCTTGTGAACCAAATTGCGAGATGCAAAAATGGGCCGTTAATGGATATTATCGAATCTGCATGTTTGCCTTACGAGATATTGAATCAATGGAAGAACTGTTTTATGATTATAATTTTCATAATTTCAACGTTGAAACCAAACAAATATGCCATTGTGGTTCATTGAAATGTCGTGGTTTCATCAATGGAAAGAATTCATTAAATCCAAAATTAACGGGGAACAGTAATGAAGCAGCAGGCTCGATTCAAATGGATGTCGATGTTGCTAGTGAAGAACCAACAATTTCAACGGAGGAAACAAAACCATTAATTGAATTTCCTTATGCATTTCTTAAATCATATTCTCGATTGCCTCCAAACGATCCTCTTGGACGAAGTTTTCTGTTTGTTCGTCGTGCAACCAAAAAGATCAAAGTGCCTGTCAGTATTGTGAAAAATGGTAAAAATCTTCGAAAACAGGACATCATTTCACAACAAGAGAATGTGGTCGAAATTTCTTATGATCCAATCATGTTGAAAAGAAAAATGGAACCACTTAGTTATACGAAAAAGCAAAAAATACTAAAGGATTTATTGTTTATGAGAAGAAATTTCGAAAAAACAAGACGATTCTATCTGGCATTGCAAAACTATTTAGATAATAATCAAGATAATGATCAAAAAAATCTATATCGAATCCGTTATACAAGTGATAATAATGGAAATGGTTCCGATTCTGAATCTTCAACTAGTCGTCTATTATCTAGTAATTGTTCTATTAAAACTCGTGGCATTTCACGTGTGGGCAATGATCCGAATACAAAAATTTTGAAACTTACACAGATTTACTCAAACATTTGCCGTGAAATTGGTTTGTTTATATTGAATAAAGTATACTCAACCATTTTCAAAGGTTATCATTATGATAAGAATGGTATTCCAAAAAATGGTGGTGAAGATTATGTCAATAATGACAATAATAATCATGGAGCTGTCAAACGAAAACGAAATAAAATTAATGAACATGAAAATGCTATTAATAATAGTTTGATCAGCTTCACTCCGCTTATTGATCAAATTAGGACTGGAAAATTGATACAGATCGACGCATTTGAACGGAATATTATTTCACATATAAAAGAACAGCTACAAGAATTTCGTTTGGATATTACCAATGGAAATAGTAAATTGAAGAAACTTAAATTAACTAAAAATGGATACAATACAGCCACTACGACAAATGGAAAAAGATCAAAATCACCATCGGAATCGACAAATACTTTAGACAATGATGATTTTACCTTTATTCGTATTAGCTGTGATGAAATTGATTCCATGGAAAGTGATGCATACAAATTGTTGTCGGATAAGCTGAAAGAAAAACATTCAATCATAAAGGACATTGTTGATACGGAAAATGATTCATCAGCAGCACTATGCAATGGTAGCAAGAATATTTTTGGTGAAAAATTCAAAGGAACTAAATTGACCGAAATGAATCGAAAAAGAATGAACAAATTCATTGGAGTATTGGAATCGAATGAACCGATTCGAATATCTGAACATTTTTCTCTTCCACGAATTGTAGAATCGTTTATTCCTAAAAAGTTAAAGAAAGAAAATGATGGAAATTCCGAAACCACTAGTGATTCATTAATTCAACAACATTTACAGATTAAAGAAAAGAATAATGAAGAAGTGATTCGTTGTATTTGTGGAATTCTCCGAGAAGAAGGTCAAATGATTCAATGTGACAAATGCGAGGTAAGATTTATTATCTGTGAATTTTTGTTTTGAATTAAAAACAATTGATTGTTTCATTCATAGATTTGGCAACATTTTGATTGTGTTCAACAATTTTCTGAAGTCAATCTCAATGAAAATGAATACGTTTGTGAAGTTTGTCAGCCTAGACCTGTGCCAAAGGTAAATTCATGAAATGATTTAATTTTTTAAAATTATTAATGAAAATGTTTATTTATAATCATCATAGGATATACCATTGCCTAATAATCTGCCAAATTTTGATATGCCATTTCCAATGAATTATTATCTAACATTGGAATCTCCAATCGAAAAGGGTCTTCGAATTCGACTTGGTGATTGTGTTTATATATACCGTCAATCACCGAATCCTGTGACATCGAAACAATTATCCGGAAAAAAGAATGCTGAACAACAAATAGATGGTGAACATTTTATTGAAACAATTAGAACAGCAGCTGATAATGCTATCAAAACACGATCACATCCATTCGAACGCCAACAATGTATCATTATTCGTGTTCAACATTTGGCCATCATTAAAAATACTGGACAACGAATTTTATTTGGCCATCATTATATTTGGCCTTCGGAAACTTATCATGAACCAACACGTAAATTCTATCCAAATGAATTGTTACGATCACCACTTTGTGAATGGGCAGCAATGGAAGAGGTGCGAAAAACCTGTATGGTTTTAGATCCATCCACCTATACAAAAGGTCGACCAATCGGATATGACCAAAAGATGTATTCATTTGTGAAATGCGTGTTGATCGTGGTGCCAAATCATTTAGTCGAATCCCGAAATCGGCACATTTTCCAGTCAATATTAAGAGCTATGCATTTGAAATGTATCCTGAAAAATTGAAAATCAAAAGAACTTATTCTGTAAGCTATTAATGTATTTTTATCATCATTTCTTTTAATGATCAAATTGAATTTTTTACACAGCCACACCAAGTGCCAGAACCAGTTGCAAAGAAAACAAAATCTAATCGTAAAGATAACCACCATGGCAATAAGTTTGATGAAAATATCGATCAACAGGATGACAATACTCGATCATCTACAACTTCAGCTATTATTACAAAGGTTCCTGAAATTGACGAAAAGGTATGTAATATGGCATTTAATAATCTTGATCGAATGTTAATTTTGATTTTTTTTGTTCATTTCATATATAAAGACAAAAAATACAAAATGATTCGATTATGGAAATTGACCAATAAACTGAATGAACAGGCATATTATCAGGAATTGTTAAAAGAACAACAGCAACAAAAACCAGAATCGGAATTGTAAACTGTGTGTGTGTTGTGTATGTAATGAACGATGAAATTTGCAAATCGACAATTGTAGATAATTACATTTCACATCATCATTATTCATTAATTTTTTTTTTGCCTCATATCGATTCGATTCTAATTATCAATTTTTTTTCTCTGTATACAAACGCATTTTCTCAATTCACTTCATCATCACATTATGTGTGTTCAAAACATCAATCATGTATGAATGAATCACACGCGCCATACACAATCGACCAGTATTTTTTTCATATATTTTATATTTATATATATTTTGTATATTTTATTTGGCATGTAAAAAAAACGATCTAAAATATTAAAAAGAAATTTATTTTTGGATTTTTTTTAAAAAAAATCAATGAAAATAATTTCATTTTTGTTACGAAATTTCCATCAATATTTTATATTTTTTTAGATTTTCTTCCACCTTTTTTTGGCTGAGTATTCGTTTGATTATTGAATGAAAATTTTCATAATAACATTGATCCGATGTTTTCATTGTTTGTTGCTTGATTGATTCCATTTGTTTAGCAAATCTTTCCTCATCGGCATTGAAATTTTCATTCAAATCATCTAATATTTTACGGTATTTTTTTCGTAAAATTTTCGCCATTAGTTTGGGATATTCACTTTCTTTATACTTTAAATCTTCAATTAATGTTTTTGCTGTTTCCAATATTTCTTCTTCGGTAGTTGTTTCTAATTTCAATTTATCCGAAACAAGCATTTGTTCGGGAACATTTTCACGTAAAAATTCATTACGATATTCGGAAGTAGCTTTCCAAGCTGATATTATTTGTTCTGATAATGTACGTATCAGCTGGTCATTATTATTATCCTGACATTTCGATGATGGTGTATTTTGTATTTTGTCGTTATAGAGGGAATTGTTGAATTTTTCAATATCCACATCACCATCATCATCGTCTTCAAATAAAAAATCAATATCGGAATTTTTCAGATCAACACTACAATCGGAATCTTGATTGGCCAAAAATTCTTCATACAATTGAAAAACTTTATCCATTTTGTTTTGGATAGCTATATATAGAATAGAATGATAGAAAATAGATGAATCAATGAAAAATACAATGCAATTATAGTATATAGAAATAGTTTAAATGTGATATATTTTTATATTTTAACAATTGAATATAAACCTACCTGAACTTGATTGATTATTCATGATTGTTTCGAAATTCAAAATATTGAAAATAATAAACAAATCAAAAAGTTTAGACGCCAAATTCTCAGTGGATGAATGTGTGTGTGTGTGTGTGTGTGAACACAGATTATTTATTTTTGACCGTTGAGAAATATCAACAAAATCAAATGTAATGCCATCTGTTGCTTTTTGATGTAGTTTAAAAAATCAACATTTCAGAAAGTTATCAAATATCAAAGAAAATCTGGTATTTTATTTATATTAATAATTCAGAAAAAATAAGGATATTTAGAATAGAATGTAAATATCAAAATTACAAATGATTCAATTACTAGATAATTTACGAATCTCTTCCACTTCATGATCGGAACGAATATAGGAATTAATCTCTTCATCGGAGAAATCTTGATCTTCTATTTCTTCAAATGTTATTGGTTTATTGTTGTTCGATATTATTTCATTATTTTTTTGTTCATTAACCTGTTGATGATTACCATTGGTATTGAGTTGATTATATTCAGCAATGATCGATCGTTTCATGTAAACAATTTTTTCAATACGTAATGAAATAGTATTTTTGGTCAATTCTTCACTATTGGTAAGCAATGGACAGCAGTTGGCAAAATCTTTTAATACTTTAAAAAAGAATCGTACCTTTTTATCCAATACTATTCGGTTCGATATATTGAATTGATCACAAAATTTATTAACCGTAATCGATGACCGTTTTTGATCCACTGCTTTCCATGCATAGAACAATGCAACATAAATTATAGTGATAGGATTAAATCCTTGAATTAGGCAAGCTTCTTGCCACATCCATACTAATCCGGTTGCATAATCCGAAATGGCCATTTTTTCTTTATCGGCAAAATCATGTTTAAACAGGTATAATGGTATTAGTGATTCGATTTTTTTGGCACTTTTTTCAAAAAGTTCTGGACGTTTTTTCTGTAAACTTAATAAAATTTTACCAACATGTTTGAAAACACTATCAGAATTTTTGAAAAATTCGTTCAATGTAATGTGATTACATTCCTGATTACAGATCACATATAGACAACATAAAGCTAAACTTTGTTTGAAGTTTGTTGAACGATTTTTAAATTCATTTTCTTTGCAAACATCACGAAATAAAGTTATGGCCATTTCTCGAATCGATTTAGAGATATTTAGATTTTTCGATAATGTAGATATAAGTTTAATGCCATATAATACTGGAGCGGTAGTTCGTTTTTGGTCCGATAATTTGATAATATTTTGTTGATGATATTGTTGTTGTTGTGAATACGAAATTTTTTCCCCATCTTTCGTTGTTTGTGGTTGAAACACCAAATTTGGTTCATCATTTACAACGTTACCACAATTTGTACAAACTGAAATGAAATCTTCAATGATAATATCTTGTGATTGACAATCTGGACATTGTTGTTGTTGTTGTTGTTCTAGTTGAGACATTATTTTTTAATTTTTTAAGATATTGATGACCACTCAAAATTGTGAGCACAAAAATATTTTGGTTTTTTTTCATTTCCATTTCTACCTACTTTTTCATATGCTGTGTAAATAGAGGTTTAGAATAAAAAAAATTCGAATACATTTTGGCGCAGGCTAATTTTCATATTGATCATCACACATATTATAATTAGATTTTTGTTTTGTTTTTGGAATTGGCATTTAAATTGAAAAAAAAATTCCTACTGCAAAAAAAATGGTACAATAACAATTTACAACATTCAATTAATTAGCAATATTAACACACAAATTAATTAATTGAATTTCGTAACACCAAAAAAAAAAAAAAAAACTATGGGCGGCCCCACATATCGATTCATGGCACCAAATTTTGATGATGATGGTGATGTTACAGAACACTATATAAAAAAAAATCGAATTTTGTTTTCAACCATTGAATCACCATTAATCAATACGTTAGATTCATAATATGTTTTGGTTCATCCGATTTCGTTTCGGCATACATTTCTTAGTGTTGTTTATTTATTTTTTTTTCGTATTCTTCAAGATAGCTAGTTCCAGAAAATATTTTTTATATATAATGATGATGATGATCCATTCGATGCACGCATGTCCATGTACCAGAAATTGAATTGTATCACATTCATTCATCTTATATTGTTGCCGAAATAGAAATGAAAGATAATTTTCGGACATTTTTTTCAAGAACAAAATTTATTCTATATATACAAACTCTGGGTATATGTTTCAATTTTTTTTTCGGTAGAACCAGAATCACACACACACACACACACATATAGGTATACATACAATGATGATGACGATGATCCAAACAGACCGGATTCTATATGATAATGGTCTAAATACAGTTTTTCAATTTAGCAATTTAGTAGAAAAAAATATGGAAAAAAATCGATATTCCAACACAGACACACAAATACGCCACCATCATTTGTGGGCAACCCATCCAGAATTAGCCAGAGGTTTGAATCTCTGTATATAATAATTATAAACAAACACACACACCGGTTCTATACAATCTCGAAAAACCATTATTTTGCTATAGAGAATTTCCATTTTGTAGTTGTTTTTTTTCGATTTCCGTTATGACAATACACCGAAGGACTTTTTTCTGGAGCATGTCACAATTTGAAGCTACGTCGTTATATCATCATCATCATCATCATCACCATTTTTATATTGTTGTCGACATTATCGTCGTCATTGCCAGAAGAAGAAGAAGAAAAATCAAGTTTCATTTCGTGTACGTAATGCTATTGGGAATTTCCTTTTTGGATCGACTCAATAGATCCAGATCTCTGTTTGTGCTATATGATCATTTTTTACATTCTTTTTTACTACTGCCGCTATATATGTCTTATTGAAAATATTCTTCTAACCTAGATCCTTTTTGGGTTTGCTGGCTTCATCATAATCGTAGGCGATTCCCTCACCATTTGATGATGATGATGTCGATGATTTTTTTCATATTCTTCTTATTTAAGGTAACTATATTTGAGTGTCAAACTACAATTTCGAATCATCATCATCACTATTACTATTATAATGTTTATTGATGTTGTTTAACGTTTTTGTTGTTGTTGTTTTTTTTTCGTTAGATGACTACAACTTAACCTGTATATAATAACCAAGTTCTGAAGATAACCAATAATCATCATCATCATCATCAGCATCATCAGCATCAAACGAAATTAAAATTAAAAGAAAAAATTTATTTGTTTTGTTGTGGTTGTTGTTTTGTTTTTTTTTTTTTCGTTCATCCATTTATTTTGTGTCTCTGTTTGTGTCATTTGTGTTTATGATTTTTTTTTGTGTTTGTGTGTTCTAATTCTTAAATCACATTTTTCTTCTTCTTTCTGCTGCTGCTGCTGCTACTGATAATTATCGTCATCATCATCTTAAAATAATTTTCAACTCACAAACAAATATCATCATCTACATCGCACGCACACACACACACACCTACACACAAAAACCGAAGAATTTTCATCGCATTTGAATCACATCATCATCATCATCGTATCATTGTTGATTTTTGATCTTCTACCTCTTGTTTTATTTTAGTACCAAATTTTTATTATTATTATTATTTCTCCTGTGATTCTGTTTGTGTTTGTGTTTGTGTGTTTGTATGTAGCCTGAAAAAATTTCTAGTCTTATATTGAATGGAATAATAATAACGATCTGAAAAGTTTTCAATTTTAATTTGTTAATTCATTTCATCATTTTAAATTTTATTCGGTATGTTTTTGTTTTGTTTTGCATAAAAATTATTTTTTTCCATTCTTTATTATTCCAGAAAGAAATAACATTCAATTATTTGAATAATGTGAATCAATGAATAAAAGACATTATTCGTCATCATCATCACCATTATCATCATTCATTGAATTAGTTTTTTTGGTTTGACAACACAGAATAATAGAATTGGATCTGGTTTTTTTCACATAAACACAAATATTCCTATTTTGAATCATCATTCCTATTATTGAAACAGCCACACACACACACACAGTCATATACATATTTCATCTGAATAATAGAAACAAAAACGTCACACAGAATCCAAAAATGCCTCCATATCAATTGCTGAATCCACATTTTTCCAATGAATTGTTATTCAAACGGTTGTTATCACGCCAAATACGATCATCTGTCGATCATCATAATGATAATGTAGCTAAAGCTGCAAATAATGGTGGCGAACTTGAATTCGTTCCAGGCATCGAATTCCATAAGCCTACCGTTGAATTGGCTCGACAATTAGGTGACATTAACGGTACGACTGGTGGTGGTGGTGGTGCCGAATCATATTCTCGTGGCCAGGATGAAACAGTCAATGATTTTACTACAACCGTACGTAGTGTAATCAATTCAACCATCAAAAATATGGCTAAAGGCACAAAAGTTGAATCAATGAAAGAATCGACCAGCTTTTTTGATGAAGTGGAAAAACCAGTGGAAAATATGGTGAAAACTGTGGCCAAAAAAACAAGCCTTCCATTCTGGGTTGTATTTTTAATCTTTCTAGTAATAATGGGCATTTTAGCCATGGTTTTCTTTTGCTGTCTACAAAGATGGTGGCGAAAATTTCGTGGAAAAGAAGCAAAAGGTGGATTTATGGGCGGTAAAGTTGATTTGAAATCTGTTCAATTACTTGGTCAAACATATAAAGAAAAAGTTCAACCTGAAATGGAAGAATTGACTAAAGATATGGAACAAAATGAAGCTGGTAAAGATGATGCTAAAGAAGAGGTCAAATTAGGTCGATTACAATTCAAAATTGATTATGATTTCAATCAATCTAATGTAAGTAAATTTATTCATTCATTCATTCAAATGTTGATATAAATAGTCATATAATCTGTCATTTCATTTCATTTTAGTTGGCAGTTACCGTTTTACAGGCTGAAGAATTACCTGGTCTTGACATGTCTGGAACCAGTGATCCATATGTTAAGGTATATATGCCATTTCTTTACGTCATCAAATGAATTGGATCGTATCTAATCTCATCATCTCTAATATCTTTTGATATATTCTAGGTCTATCTACTTCCAGATAAGAAAAAGAAATTTGAAACAAAAGTACATCGTAAAACATTGAATCCAGTATTCAATGAAACATTTAATTTTAAAGTTCCATATGCTGAAATAACAACAAAAACATTGGTTTTTGCAGTATACGATTTTGACAGGTTTGATATTTTCTTTTTTTATTTTATTCATGAAAAAAAAATAATAATTTATATTCTTTGATTCTCTATCAATAGATTCTCGAAACATGATCAAATTGGTGAAGTTAAAATTCCATTGAATCAAATTGATTTGGCACAGACTATTGAAGAATGGCGTGATTTAACCAGTGTTGAAGATGCACAAGGACAGGTTAGTCTGACAATATTCTAATAACATTTATTTCATTTGATCATGATCAATCATGATCAATCATTCATTTTTTTTTATATTAATTATTATGATATATGATGAGGATTTCAATTTGGAGCAAACAAAAAAGAGAAGCATAGGTTTAAGGATCAATAGGTCAAATTCATTGTAAAAAAAAAACAATGATCAAATATCACTTCATTCCAGTTGCTTTTTGTTGAAAAGTTGAAATTTTTAAATGCATGCCCATTTGATACAATTGGCTTGAATCTAATATATTGCTGCTGTTGCTGCTCAAGTACAAGAAAAAAAATAATCAATCGCTTTTTTCCATTATTATTTAAATCATTCAATCATTCGATCAATCAATTGATCGAAATAACAAAAAAAAAAATTTCATTTTTGCATGTTTGATTTTCCTATGAAAAGACTATAAATACTAAACATTTTTTCTTGTTTTGTTTTTGTTTGGCAATTTAAATTGTTATCAAAATCAAAATCAAAAAAAAAAAAAAAAATAAATAAATAAATAACCATCGTATATCATCATTTTCACCACTCTCACCATTTCATGGACAATTCATAATTTGGATTTGAAACATAAAAAAAAAAATAAAATTTTGATGGATCATTATCGATTGCCCAAAAAAAAACTAAATAATCGATTCATTTGAATATAAAATTTCGATCAAAAAAAAAAAATTTTTTTTATATTTATAATTGATGATCAATATTGTGATTCATAAACAAATCGATCGATGGATCTCATTGATGTAAGTATTGAATGATGAAATGCAAAAAAAATGCTTGTTTTTTTTTATTTTGTCAAATTTTTTTTTGTTCTACTACTCATTATTATCTGTAAATATATGAAACGAAAACGAAGCAAATATGAAAATTATCATTTTTTTTTATTATTATGAAAGACAATCACCCAATGATTCTGCACCATATGCACAACAATAACTAGATAATGATGATGATGATGATGATCTATAACATACGAAATAGGGCAAAAAAAAAATTTCAGTCAATGATAATATACTTTACCTGTTTTTTTTTGGCCGTCTAATCGAATTCGATTCGATTGATATGTGAATAGATTCGATTATTTATTCTTCATTTTTTTAGGTCATTTAAAATTGAGCAATACTTTCCAGTTTGGTTTTAAATTATTCATAAGTATATTCTGGGGATTCCATGATTTTTTTTTTTTTTTCCTTCGTTTTTAACATTTTTTTTCAACATTCTTACCGATATATTGATTGATGTTATTTTTATTTTTATTTTTTCAAATAAAAACCAAAAAAAAAAAAAAAATTTTAAACAGGAAAACAAGTTGGGAGATATTTGTTTTTCATTACGTTATGTACCGACTGCTGGTAAGCTCACTGTCGTTGTCCTTGAAGCCAAAAATCTTAAAAAAATGGATGTCGGTGGCCTCAGTGATCCATACGTAAAAATTGCCTTGATGCAAAATGGTAAATATTAACAACTAATATGAATTGGATGGTTTGTCATTATTTCATTTTTTTTCCAACAAAAAAAAACAGGAAAACGATTGAAAAAGAAGAAAACATCAATCAAGAAATGTACATTGAATCCATATTATAATGAATCATTTACATTTGAAATTCCATTTGAGCAAATACAAAAAGTGCAGTTGGTTGTTACTGTTGTTGATTATGATCGTATCGGTACATCTGAACCAATTGGAAAGGTATTTTTAAATGAATCATTGATGAATTTATCTAATTCAAATCGAATTGAATTCAGGTTGTACTTGGCTGCAATGCATCTGGTACGGAATTAAGACATTGGATGGATATGCTTGCATCACCACGAAGACCAATAGCTCAATGGCATTCATTGAAAGATCCTGATGATGGTGGTGGTAAAGATAATTGAGAAGAATTTGATACAATGATTATTTGCAAAATGAAAATCATGGATTATTTTCATTCATCATCATCATCATCATCATTGTCAACATTTCGATCATTATCTGTTTGATTTGAAAAACAAACTATAACTGTGACCACCGTTATTGAATCGCGTTCGCTTATCATCATTATCATTATTTGGAAAAAAAAGAAAAAAAAATTGTGCTGAAAAAATTCTTGATTTGCATTATAATCATAATCATATTTCATCATCATCATCATCGTCATTCATTTCATTTTCATTCAACTGAAAAACACACACACATACACAACGAAACGATCCTATTGCTCCATGACATAAAAAAAAAAATTCAATATCATTACTACATTTCATTGAAAAGGAGAAAATTGAAATGAAAACCATATATGATAGGTTGTCAACATAATTTCGTCAATAGAAATAAGAAAGAAAGAAAATTTACAAACAAATTCTATTTGCCGATTCTTTATTTTTTTTTTTTTTTTTTTTTTTTTGGTTCTCGGTAAATAGAAAATTGATATTTATTCTTCCTGCTTTCCACTAATTTTTATCATCATCATCATCATTTGACCAATTATGATTATTATTCACTTGATATGAATGCTACAATTGATTTAGAAACGAACAAGAAAAAAAAACTAAACTAAACTAAACTAATTTTTGGGATATTTTTTTTAGACTTAGACATTCAGTCTGTTTTTATTATTCATGAAAAACGATTGTTACATTGATTGATGTGATGTGTCTAGCTCATGATATTGTTTTTTTTGGTGTGTGTGTGTTTGCAATGAGAAAATACATTTTTATATAATTGGTAATGTATGTTCACCACAATATCAGTGTGTTGATTTTTTTTTGCTTTTTGTTGTTGTTAGATTTGTCACATCATTATCCAATTACACCATTACTACATGCAAAAACCATTATGTACCAGAATTATAATTGCACTCACACACACACACACACACACACACACACACACACACACACCTAACCTAACCTGACAAACGAAAATATTCACACAAATTAATTAATTTGGTTATTTATTTTATGGAATTGAATCGAGAAAAAAAAATTATCATCATCACTATTAATGCAAATACCACTACTATTTGATTTGATTGATACCCGTGAATCAAAGTGTGCCATATACAGAATCATCATCATTGTCGTTTATCCTTGTTTTGATTAGTTTTCCATCTCTATTTCATTTGGATTCAGAATATTGTATATCAACAGAATCCAAAGAAAAAAACAGAATCGAAATTTATCGTACATTATACTCTACATTAGGCTATTTCTGTGCGTTTTTTTTTTTTTTTTTTTTCGTTTTGTTTTTTTTTTTTCTTTAAAGTTTAAAATAATCATCAGATTGAATTCCTAAGCTTCTACTACTACTAAAAATTGAAATTTCATTTTCAAATCAACTGATTAATCGATTATCGATCACCAATTAATTATGATTGAACAGTAATATTGTAACTAAACACACACACACACACACACATACAAAAAAAAACATTTTGATTTGACAAACATATTTGAAAAATTGTTTTATTTTTTAAAATTTTAAAAACTTTTATCCATTCCCGGTTAATTTATCTATTATCAAAAAAAAAAAAAAATTTTTTTCCTCTCTTTGAATGAATCTTGAATAAAAATTACCCGAAAATTAACAAACAAAAAAAATCCGGTCATTCATTCTTGTTGTTTTCATTGAAAAACGAATGTCATACATTTTTATGACTACGATGATGATGATAATAATTACATAGTATATGGAAAATCCTATTAATAACCATAAAAACCCGAGTAGTAAAATTATTCACGTCTACAGGAAAAGGACGTTCTTCTAAATTTAGATATGCATATACATTGAGGATATTTATGTGAATGTTTGATGGTGATCCAATGTCCACCGAATGACATGTAATGGTTTGACAAAAAAAATTTTATTTTTCTCGTAACAAACAAACAAACAAACAAAAAAATTCAATCAAATTTGACAACAAAAAAAAACAAGAAAGTTGAATCCGGGACATTTCAAATGTGTATGGATATATAGTGAACAACCAGGTTGGTCGATATATATTTCTTTGGCCATTTGTTTTTTTCATTTTTTAAATTTTTTTTCAGTAGAAAAAATTTGCATTCAATTCATATTTGTTTATATGTGCGAGAAAAAAAACGTCGCTCTTCCGTGTAGTTTTTTTAATTTGACAATTACACACACAAACACACAAACGAAATGAACGATTAATTTGTGTTCCCAATTGTTATTTTTTTCCAAAGTTCTCATTTCATTTCATTGAATGATCATCATCATCACATTCATTTAAATTCGTTGATGAATTCAACTAGGCATGGCGAAAACAAAACAAAAAAAAAATATCCAATCACCAAATTCAATTCAATTCGATGATGATGATGAAACTTGTACGGGAAAAAAAAGTTTCGTTGACAGTTTCATCATCATTATCATTATTGTCGATGATAGAAATGAGTAAAATTCACGACAATTTCAATTGTTTTTATGTGTGTGTGTGTGTATGTGTGTGTTAAATGTCTTTATTGTTTCAATTCATGCAACCACATATCCGAATACTTTCAGTATTTAATCATGCATGCAATTTTCCATCAGGATTCTTAATTGGAAATTGAATGATGATGTGTGGTATTTTATGATCGTTGTGAAAATTTTCATGTAATCGATCTATATTGCCGGTATACACAAAAACAAAAAAAAAAAATGCCAACAAGAAACAAGATAAATCTGATCAATTTCTAGTCAAAATAAAAAGAAAAAAAATCCAAACGATTCAACAATTATACCTGTATGGTAAGCCGAAAAATGATGATCGTAGTAAGTATAGTTGGTAATAAAGATGGTAACATTTCTTGTTTTTTATTCATAGACAAGACAAAAAATTTGAAAAAGAGAAATATTTCGTTGAGAGAAAACCTATTGGCCGAAATCATTCTCCATTCTCCATTCTCATTTTGTTCTCATTGATGATGATGATTTTAAAGATTGACCGTGGCGTTGCCATACGCGTTGTAGCCGTATTATTAATAATGATGATGATGATTGTTGTTGTGGTGGTGGCGGTGGTGGTTTGGCAACAATTTTATGTTTCTGTATGGTGACTCAATCGTTTGATTTCTCATTTTGATTCATTATTTTGCAGAGTAGCCAACAACAATAACAACAACAACATGTTGCAAGATTTCTGAATATTCATTCATTCAAATCATTTATTTGTGAATATTCAATTTTTTTCCGTCTCATCATCATCATCATAATCATCAATGCGATTTTTTTCCGCTTAATCATTGTGATTCTGATTCATCTTTCAAATATTCGGAATTCAATTCCAATTCTCATCATCATCATTGTCCACAAATTAATTTGGTGATTTTCACTTATATTTACACACTGTGTTTGTATGTCGGTATGGTTTGGTTTTCGGTTGATTGAATTCTAGTGTCACATACACACACACACACAACCATTCATTCAATTCATTAACGAAGTAACAACAACAACAACAACAACAACACAACAACAACAACAGACCAATTTACATGTCAAACTAGAAAATAGAAAAAAAACTTGAAAAACATCGACATTGTCAACTTTGAATGACTTGATAACGACATGATCACGATCATCATCATCATCATCAAACGATCATTTTCACTTGTAGTTTTTTTCAATGTTTTTGTGAATATAATTTTTCTGCGTGTGTGTGTGTGTGTTTTGTGTTTCTGTGTTTACAGGTCAAATATTTTATCATCAAACACCTTTTTTTTCTACTATTGATTTTTTTTCTTCATTACATTCATCGTTAATCACGAACAAACAAAAAAAAATTTGATCTGACATTTAGTTTTCCGGTAATTATTATTACTAACCATACGAGATTGATATATAAAACATTAATAACCTCAAAAAAAAATTATTTATAGATAGATAGAAAAAAGCAAAACAAAAAATTCATTTGTACCAGTCGTCGACTAGTGTAAGTGACGACCAGAAATACATTTCTCAGTAATTGTTTAACATTGAAATCGACCATCGAGAATAAAAAACAAAACACGTAAATAAAAACTCCCCATAATGTACAACAACAATGATTTTTTCATCATCATCATCATCATAATTATGATTGTGGTGGTGGTGTCTGTGTTTGTTTGTTACAATTTTTGGTAAATAATAAAGGTGTGTGTGTGTGTAATACCATCACCACGATGATGATGATTAACCTAAAAAAAACGCACACACACACATACACCCCCTACATGTAAAGTCCAAAAAAAAAAATGGAAATCACAAAATGTAGATTATATTGCTTGCACTATATATATTGTGATTAATTATTGAGAAAAAAAAGTAGTTATTACCACCTTTACTACACAACAACCAATCATGATATATAAATCGAGGTTAACATTTTTTCGAGAGAAAGGAAAAAATTATTTATATTCTTTACCACAAGATTGTTGATGATATAAATGGTTACCATTGACATCATCATTGTCACCGTTAACGCTCTAAAGATTTACTTTTTTTTTTGTTAAATATAAATCTGATCTGATGATGATATTCTGATTTCAATTTTCATTCAGAATTTTCAATCAAATGATGATGATCAAACGTACTATGTGAATGTGCATTTATTTTCTTTATTTTTAATATAAATGCGTGTGTGTTTTTATTTTTGATGATTTTATCTCATTCTAAGAATTGTTTGATCATTTTTGTTTTTTTTTTTTTTATATTTCCTTGATTGATTGTTACGATTGAATGAATATGGAATCTTCTAGTCGTTTCATTTTATAATTGACTTTACAACGTCAATATTTACCAAACAAACTAATTCATATTTTTATTTTTCTTTTTTTTCCAATGAAAAAATTTGATGACTTTTCACAAATTTCCTCATTGGCAAAAAAAAATAACCACAAAATTTTTCTTCAATTTTTTCGTCTGTGTATTGTGTTGTTAATCGTTGTTTTCGTTTTCGTTTTTTTTTGTTATTGTTAGTGATGATGATGATGATGATTTTGATGATTGTTGAAGGATTTCCATGGTTCCCGGTCTCTACTAATCAGGAATATCATATCACAATCACATAATAATAAAGTGATTGGTAAAAACGACAAGAAAAGACAAGATTATATATATAACACACTCAATTTAATTTGGTGCCGTCTGCTGCAATGACTATGAAATGATTGATGCCGACAAATATCTACAACCATCAAAAGAAGACGACATCATCATCATATGTGTACATTTCTAAATGAAAATAGCATCAAACAACACAAAACTCGACAAATCTACAACAATCTACGACATTCATAGCATCATCCACTAAGTTGATTTTGATTTGAGTTCGAATTTTCGAATCAAGAAAAACATTCATTCATTTTTTTTGTTTGTTTCTTGATTCGTTGTTTTTTTTTGTTGTTGTTGTTGACATTTGCAATAATAATGGAAAACGTACGTAAATTTTATGATCAAAGTGTTGAAACAGCTCGTTCATTGTATGAACGATGTCGAGCATTCGCCATTAGGTATGTTTGTTTTGTTTTTTTTTTTTTTTGTTTTTGATTGATTGAATGAAATCATCAATGAATTAATTCGGTTTGTTTTTTTTATAGAACATTCACAAAAGATGATAATCCAATGAAATCATCATCCACTGTACATCCAGTGAATACAAATCAATCATCAACGGCGATTGTTCAAACACAACAACCAATACCTGTACATAAAGTTATTATGGTTGGATCCGGTGGTGTCGGTAAATCAGCATTAACATTACAATTTATGTATGATGAGGTAAGAAGAGATTTCAATAATTTTTTTTTTTTTTTTTAGCTATAGCTTTCGGTGTTACACACACACACATGATAGGGTGGTCACGTTTGTGTGTTTACAACCAACATAAATTGTCAGTGTTGTGTTCGATGAATGATTGATAATGATCTGATGATGATGAAAATAATCTGGTTATAGATATGTTGACCATTTATAGATGAACAATTTTTTTATTTGTAACTTCTGTTATTTGTATTTTGGTTTTTCATAGTTATTTAATCAATCATTAATCGCACACAAAATGAGCTCCTTATGTGAATATATGGATCTTTTTCTTTTTAAGATTCGTTAATGATTATGTCATGATCAACTAATCATCATCATCATTCCCATTTTTTTTGCTGTTCACATTTCAAATGAAAAGTTTATGATCGTGATTATCATCATCATCATCATCATCATTATTAGTAGTGAACAACAATGGTGAAACCAAGTCCTAGACAACAACAAATCAGAACAAACAAAAAAGAATTGAATGAAAAGGTTTTGAATCGATTGAATGAATGAATGAAAATCCTAATTGTTTCAAACGAATACTATTACTACTACTACTACTACTAGTAGTACTACTAATGTCAAATAATGGGGACAATTATCATGATGATGATGATGAGATTTGATTGTATGTCATTCGACTAAATTGACATATAATGATAATGATGATGTGATATTTTTGAAACTGTATGTGTGTGTGTGTCTGTCACATGAGAAGTAAAAAGTTTTTGTGATTTGTTGGATTTTGTGAATGAAAAAAAAAATACATTTTGGAACATTATTGTTCTCGAAAAAAATGGCTTTTCTGAATTTTTCTTCTTTTACCTTGCATAGCAAAAAAAAAAATTATCGATTTGTCTGATTTTCATACACACGCACCACAGATGTTTTTTTTTTTTTTTTTTTTTGAATTGTGGCGAAATGATGATAATGTCTTAATATCTTAATCAAAAACGAAAAAATAAAGATTATGCATTTCATGGTTGAAAACTTAAATGATCCATAACCAATAACAGCAACAACAACAATAAATGAGATTTGAATTTTCTTTCAAAGTTTTTTTTTTACGTAGCAACAGCAATAAAACCAATTTGCAAATGGCTGTATGTACATCATTATGTAATATCAACATTCTTTTTTTGTGTGTACTTTGAGCAATTTTTTTCCTATGGATTTTCATGCATCATTATTATTATTTACCTATGAATTGAATCAAAAATTTTTGATTCAATTCCAGAAACATTATTATTGGATATCAGCATACACACATCGCTCTATATATCTGTATCTGTGTATCAAACAATCATATTATGATGATATGTAAATTACAATGGATCATCATCGAAGAAAAAACATAAGGAAAAGAAACTAAATAACTTTTTGTGGCTTCAGAATAAAAAAAACAATGCAAAACAAAAAGAATAGACTTGTAGGTTGTTTGTTCACGTTTATTGTTGTTGTTGTTGTTGTTGTTTGTTGTTTGAATCCAATATCAACAACAACAACAACAACAGTGAAGAAATGACCAAAAGATTTTGAATTTATTATTCCAATGAAATGAATAAACAATCTGATGATGATGATGATAATATGATGTGATTTGAAATAAAGACTTGTTGATATACTTGACCAAATTGATGATTTATATATATGTGTGTATGTGTGTGTGTGTTACCGAACCCTGAATGATGATGGTAAATAAAAACCGGTTCTATTCATTTTTAGATTTCCTGGTTTTTTTTTAAAATGTTGATGTTGATAATACATTTTGGCTGTTTATAATATAACTGTTTACCTTTTTCTTAGCATCCTAAGTTCGTAATACTGATAATCGTCAGTTGTATTATCATCATCTATGGTTCAAATTCTAAAAATTTTTTCTTTTCTTTTTTCTTTAATGAAATATACAATACACATTTGTATTTAATATCTGGATTTGATGAGAGTTGTTGTTGTTGTTGTTTGTTCTAAAGTTCACAAAGAAAAGTAATCACCGTACACATACGCATACACATACAACAATAGTCAAGTCGGTCATATATTTAATACACAGGGCCAATGTGAAAATGAGAACAACAAATGAGTGAAACATCGTCATCATCATCATCCCTTGATGATCCACTTGTTGATAATACCAAATGGTTAATTATATCTGGATGGCTAGAATAATGAATTATGAATTCTATTTTTATTTTTCAAACAACAACAACAACATGATGTGTAGGTGTCCTACATTTTTTTTATTCCTATTACTTCATTGTCATCATCATAAAGATTTTTTATGTTTGAAATTTTCAAATGATAATATTAATATATATATATAGATAGATAGTGTATTCAGTGGAAAATTCTTCAAATTCAACGGAAATGTTCGAGGACATAATCATCATCGTATATATAATAATAATAACATAAAATAATGTCCTTGATTTTTGGCTGTAGCACCATGTATTTTTTTTTTTTTTCTTTTGGCCTTTTTATATTCGATTTAAATCTTTGATGAAAGAAAAAAAAAATGAAATGAAATCAATGGTTTGTGTGAACAAACGAAACGAGCAAGAAAAAAAGGGGAGTCACAATGTGGAAACAAAACAAAACAAAAAAAATTCCATTTTGGCAATGTCCATACAACAACAATGGGGCTATAGTGCAATTTTCAATGATGAATAATTTACTTTTATTATCATCATATGATTATTGACCGATATATGACAAGACAAAAAAAACTGAATACGCACACATTACATCTTATATACAGAGACGAAAAAAAAAGACAAAAGGAAATGTCCAATTATCTTTTACATTTTTTTTTTTTTTTTTTGGTGCTATGATGCCATGACTAGTTTTGTTTTGAATTTTTTTTTCCTGTTTCTTATTTCAGAGATTCAATAATGATCTAAATGCAATTTTTTTTTCTTTCTCCTTGATTTATTATAGTTTGTTGAAGATTATGAACCAACTAAAGCTGATTCGTATAGAAAAAAAGTACAATTGGATGACGATGAGATACATATAGATATATTGGATACGGCTGGCCAAGAAGATTATGCCGCAATAAGAGATAATTATTTTCGTTCTGGTGAAGGTTTTCTTTGTGTATTTTCAATATCCGAAATGGAAAGCTTTGATGCTATACATGAATTTCGGTAAGTTAATCATTGTAATGGATGAATAAATGGATGGCAATCAATCAAATATTTTATATTTATTTAATTGAACTTTAATTATTATACATTTAGTGAACAAATTTTACGAGTAAAAAATGATGATAAAGTACCATTCATTTTGGTGGCAAATAAATTTGATCTCGATCAAAATCAACATCGTGTCAGTATGGATAAAGCACAAGAGCTGGCCAATTCATGGAATGTGCCATTGTATCAGACATCAGCCAAAACCAAATTCAATGTACAAGAGGTATGATTGCCAGATTATGTTTTTCTTTTCTTTTTTTTCTGATCTAAATCTAAATCAATCGAATTGTGTTACTTACAAAAAAGGGCAAAAACAAAAAAAACCGAATAATTCATATTAATACTCTGATTTCTAATTCAATATCATCTTTTTCTCACGATTTACTTATGTGAATCAAAATATTAGGTATTTTTCGCATTACTAAGAGATATTCATCAAAGAAAATTGGCCGGCATTCAAATGGCTAAAGGTGGCAACAACAACACCGTACAGGAAGAACAATCGACATGTTGTTTGTGTTTTTGATGACAAAAAAAAATTGTTATTCTCACACACATTCATTGTTCTCTTTTTTTTTCTCGCGTTGCCACAACCACATCAAACAGCAGCAACAACAACAACAAAAAACAACATTCATGACTTGATTGTATTTTTATTGAACGAGGATGTCAACACACACACACACACACACATATGACAATATATTGAATACATTGATTGTAAATATACGATATATATATATACTTTACCATTATTTCTCACAAATTTTTGAAATCTTTTTCTAAAAAATTGGATTATTGGACAATTTTTTTTTCTCGTTTGTCTTTACACACTTTTCATTCATTCATCGATATTGTTGTTGTTGTTGTATAAAATATCATATTTATAAATAACTTTGATGGATTTTTTTTTCTTTTCCTTTTTTCTCTCTCTCTCTCGAATAAACGTGTGTATGTGTATGAGTGTTGGTGCGATGATTCAAAATGAAAAGCCAATGGCTAGCACAATTTTATTTTTTTTTTCACACGGGTTTTCAATTGAAATTGTATTTATAAAAAAAAAAATAAAAATGATTTTTATTCACCCATAAAAAAATTACCGTTAAAAACGTTCATTCATTCATTCATTTTTTCAAATAATTTCCAGGTACATAACCTTTTTGATTAGAATGGCCAACTAGCCACCAATCGGAATTACCACTGGTATCATGTTTACAATGTACAAAAACTTTTTGGCCAAAATTCATTGATATTTGATTAGGTCCGGCTGCTTTGAATGGATATGCAGCTATATAATAATCATCATCATCATCATCATCAGACGGTTTTTTATTATGAAATTCATCATTACTTGATAATGTTGACATTTGTTGTGCCATCAATGGATCAAATTCTGATAATTCCATATTTTTATTCGAATCAATTTCTTCTAATGATAATAATAAACATGATGATGATGATTGATCACTTTCAATTGTTTCTTCTATTGGAACTGTTGAATAATAACGTTGTGGTTCAATAGGATCTGGAATCGATATCGAATCTTCGGCAACTTGATCATAACGATTTGATGATGATGATTCTTGTTGTTGCCATTGTTGTTGTTGTTGTTTTTGGCTATCCATTGGAAATGGCCGATATGATTTTAATAAATTTCTTGGAACAAAACCTTGAATGAATCCACGATCAATGTACCAACGATTTTCACTACCAGTAGGCTCTTTGTATTTGATTACACCAATCAAATCACCTTGTTGGACACCAATTTCAAGGATATCGCATGGTTCATAATTTTTAATAACCGTGAATAAATGTTGTGAATCATATTTATTTTGGAGTATTTGACGATCAGATTCTTGTTGTTGTGTTTGATTCGTAATTGATGATTTCCTAGGTTTTTGTTGTTGCGATTGATTAGTATCGGGCTGATATGTTTTATTTATTGGTAAAGTATTTTTCCATGTATTACTATTACGTTTCGAACCAAATCGAGTGAATGCTGTCAATGATGATGATGATGATGATGATAATGTGGATGTAGATGATTCTTGGAAGCTGCTCGTATGTAATAATGAAAATTCTCTCAACATTTGTATAAAATTGAGATTATATTTAACGCGAAATGTTTCATCAATATCCGAAAAGAATTCAAAAGATGTATTGTTCACTATGGGCAATTCATGCAACTCTAATTGATGTTTGGCCATCAAACCAACAAAACGTTTATGTTCCGATAGGAATGCTTGTATACAATTGATCAGAATTTGTAAAGAAGTATCGGCAAGCATAGGCAATTCATCAATCAATTGTTGATTCAAGGCTTCAAAAGTATTTTTCAATAAATTTGTATTTTCAGCATTACTTTTCGATGATTTCAAACTAGCCTCATAATCGACACGTTTATCATCACGTTTACTAATTAATCGTATGGGGCTAGCAAATTTTTGCAACAATATGTTCAATGGTTTAATAACCTTAGATTCTATGCCTTTTTTGTAAATTTTAAATTGATCATGATACATGAGAAGATATTTTTCACGAATCTGTTCAATATTAAAACGAGGATGACGTTTAAAATCACAATATTCAACAATGGTTTCCATTGTGGATAATAATTCGATATTGTATTTGTCCATGGCATCCATATATTCTTTCATATCTTTGAGAAATGAACGAATAATTTTATCCACTTCTTGAAATGAATGCAAAGCAGCATCATAATCTTTGTCTTTGGTACCGGATGAAAACGGTAACGCTGAAAGAAATCGATATTTGAATCGTGAACTTTTTTTCCATACTGAATGCATTGAAAGATTTTTCAATTTCTCAGCCAATGTTGGATCTTTTGCACGACAATATTTTTGTATTAAATCTTGTCGTCGTTTGTGTTCATTTATACGTGTAGCAATATCGGTGATCATCTGACAGGCCATCTTCAATGGTTCATAATCAACATGATCTTCTTCAGTGAATTTTATCAATTCATTCAACAATAATGGATATTTCAATATACGTTGCACCGGTTTGATCCAAATAGAAGATAAATCAAAACAATTGGTTTGATTCTGAATACGGCCAAGACAATTTTTCACATAACTCTGGGAAATAGAATTTCCTATGTTCAAATAAATAAAAAGTTTATCAAATCTTGTAAATTGCTGGATTGTAACCCCACTAACCTTCATAGAATTTCAATAGCGAATGAACTGAATCATGATTACGACAATACTGGGTATAGCTTTCATTAATTTTGAATTTTAAATCCAAAAAACAAATGCCAACCCTTTGATCAACGTATGCACGATTATGAGCATAATTTTCCAATGATTTTATCAAATGTTTTGAAACATCGATTATGCTTTTCATATTATACAATAATCGTTCGACATCTACGTTCACTTTTTCTGCTTCATATACACTCGAATTGAACACATCGTGGCAAATTTTCAATGCATGGCAATAATCTTTTTCCGTTTGTAAAAGCTCGGTAATTACGCATTCACGCTAAATGTGGATTAAACAGAATTAATAAGTGATTTAGCGATTGATAAATGAATTACCTGATTTTGTTTTTGATTTTTAACTTTGGAATTTGCATCATTTGTTTCCGTTTCTAATGACGCTTCATTACCATCCAAATCGAATTGATAATGTTCTTGTTTTTCTTGAATCAGAAATTGATTGAATGTTGGAAAAACGTCAGTACGACGTGGTGCGATTGGTGCACGACGATGTGGTTTAGCCTGCGCAACTTGTCCAGGTTCAAGAATAGAACTAGACTGTTTATCTTTGAGTTTTTCATCATCAATTTTTGGATAAAGATTTAATGTTTGTGGTGTGTTTGTTGTTGTTGTTGTTGCCGCTGCTGCTGATTCATTCGATGTAGATTGACCAGAATGGAATGGTTGACATAAATTCATATGAACAAAACCTACATTACCAGATGAATCTTTTGCTTCAATCCAATCTGTAGTGGTAAAACGTCTCAACATGGTTATAATATCACCGGCACGAACTTTTAGGTCTTGTTCCATTTCTCCATCAAAATCATAAAGAATTTTCGCAATAGAATTTGAAGGAAAATCGATAGCTTCCACTTGATTCTGAGTGGGATCATTTTGCTTCGACGTGACTTGTGGGGCTGAATTATCGTTTTGTTCTTTACAATCGACAATAACTGATATGTAACTACGAGGAAAGAATCCGATATGGCCATTAATTTCTCCTTCCATCCAATCCTGATCATAGTAACGAATCAATCGTACAATTTGATCTTGGCGAAGACTTAGCTCTGAATCATCTTGTGCATCAAAATCATACAATGCTCTGCCATAAGGTTCCATTTCATTGAACATATAATTAGCATAACCATATGCAACAGGTTGTGAATGTGAAGCGGAAACGGCACTCATAGCTGCTTCATATGAAGGCGGCAAATCTTGATATCCTGACTGTTGTTTTTGCAAATTTTTATCGGAATCCATTTTATTATTAGATTCAATATTTGCATATAATTTTTCGCTCTTATAATCTTTATTAGGTCAAAGAAAAAAATAAATGTCAAATGTCATTAGACAGTAAAATTACGTTCAACTTACTCAAGATATCCAAAATGTCCGGTGGTGGAGGAGGACTGAACGATGGCGGCACTGGTGATCTTCCTATTGAAGAATTATCAGAATCTTGATGAATATCACAGCTAGAATCGGGATTGGAAAGTTGATTATTATGCGTCAAGTTCTCAATTAAATCATTCGAAACGTCAGTTTTGACAACAAAATTTTTTGGAAAAATTCCACAAATTTTTCTTGACAATGATTCACCTTCATAATAAAGTTTATCATTTTCTTTAATTACGCCCAATATTTCATCCAATTCAGGTAAATCGATTTCTTGATCAAGTTGTGCTTCCATTGTTTTGATTACTTTGACATAGAATAGATATTTATTCTTCGTTGTATTAACGACATTGTTGTTATTTTGTTCTGGTTGTAATGATTCATTGGACAATATTTTTTGCTTCTCAGTAGTATTGTCAATATTATCATCGATAGAATGTTTACTGGTGAAATTTTTCACTCGAATTCCACGTGGATCAAATATGAAATCGGGAAGCAGATCGTTTCGTAATTTCCAAACAAAAGTTAATGGAAATATACCACAATTAGCATCATCGACAATCAAATGATTATCAAGGCGTTGTACGGAACTTAGACGAGTACCGTTCCACCAATCATTATCGATGGGATGAAAACCTGTAATGAAAAAAAAAATTTGAATTAATAATCAATCAAATAGTAAATACGATCATCATACCGATTATTAATTCAAAACGAGCAAATTTTAAATCACCATCTTCACATTGATTAATGAAATCATGTTTGGCTATAAAAACAACTTGATTCATTTCAAGAGATATGCGTAAATTATCCAATAAATCATCACGTATTTCATGACAACAATCGATTGGAATCTTTCCAATACGGTCTTCCATATAAACTTCATACCAGTATTTATCCAATTTTCTTATTAATTGTGCAATCTGTCCATGTTCAATGGAAAGTTCATCATCATATTGACCGGTGAATGATTTGTGAATAGTCAATAAACATTTAGTATCATGATGATCAGACATTATTGGTCGTTTTTTTTTTTTTGATGGTTCAAATTTATGTCAAGCTCAATGGCAATGAATATATAATATAATTTACGACTTGTTGATTGTAGCTGGTGGTTGGTTTAACAATGAAATTGATAATGATTAGTATTCACAATGAATAAAAAAATGGAATGAATTGAACATCATTATCTGTGATTTCAATTGAAAACACAACAATTGATGAGGATTATTCTTGAATCGGTCAATGATTGCGATGAATTTCATAAATGATAAAACAACAACAACAACAACAATAATAATAATGGATGTTTAGATTTAGATTTCTCATCTTTCATCTAAGCAAACGTAGTAGTAGTAGTAGTAGCAACAACAAAAACAACAACGATCATGGTCCAAAAAAAAAACAAAAATTGATTTATTATACTGTTTTATAATGTTGGGAAATCATTCAAAATTGTCATCATCATCATGATGATGATGATCATTAAAAAAAAAGATATCATCGTTGTAGTTGAAATTTTATACGCGATACATACATACACAACATAAATATATCCATGGCCAATACGCGGCCATTAAATCAACGACATCATTAACAACAACAACAACAAATAATAATAAATACAATGAGGCAACAAATGATGGATGAATGAATGAATGAATAGAATTTTTGCGCATGCTTATTTTAGCCTTTTGAATTTTATTTTATTTTTTATTTTTCCTGAAAATCATCATTTTTAATATATTTAATAATAATAATAATTAAAATTGAAAAGATTAAAAACTAGAAAAAATTAAAAGAAGTAAAATATCACAAAATTGTTTGAACAAAAATTTTTCTTCTTCTTTTTTTTCGTTAGAATGAGATTTGATGGGTGAAAATTTGGTGTTTGAGTTGTTGTTGTTGTTGTTGTTGTCTGGGTATTTATTATTGTTTCTCGATAAAAAATAAACAAATTGAAGACTATTTGATGAATATTATGGGATGAGTGATGATAATGATGATGATGATGATAATGTTGACTTAGTGTGTTGACCCAAAGAAAAAAAAACGAAAATATTTGGGCCAGCAATTCTTTTGTTTTCAATTTCAACAACATCTACGTTTAGATTGTAGATCATTTGGATTATTGATTTCATTATCAGCTGCAATCGAAATCCCTCTAAGGATAGTAAATAGTGTCATTTCATTGGAAAAAAATCAATTGATTATTAATTATTGATCAAATTAATGTGAATCAATTTACCTTGTGACCGTTGAATTTAAAGCCCTAGGATTTAGCTGTTGTGTTTGATTGAATGATATCATTTCTATAATGACATACATACACCAATAATAATTACACAATGATTAGAGCACAATGAATGATGAACATAATTAAAAGTTAATTTAAAACTTACGTTTCGTTAGATTAAGGAATACATCATCGATTCCATAATTAGTTTTGGCTGATGTACAATAATGTGTAGCACCGGCTGTTGTTGCATAGCTTTGAGCTTCAGCGATCAATACATTATTCATTTGATCACGTTCCAAGCCGGATAGAAGATCTATTTTATTACCAATAATCGCTATGCATACATCATTTCCTAAAACTTTACGTAATTCTTTGATCCAAACTTTAACCTTGGCCAATGAATCTGGATCGGTTACATCGTAAACAAGTAGAGCACCATTTGAATCACGATAATATAATGGACCAACAGCATGAAAACGTTCCTGGCCTGCTGTATCCCAAATATTCAACGTGATTGGCATATTTTGAACGAATATATTTTTAGTCAAAAATGATGCCTGTAATGTTGATTGATTCGTTTCACTATTTATTAAGAGTAAAATTTAAATTTAAAATCCAAAAATATTCATCCAGATGTGATAATCTTACCTGAATTTATTCTCCACATATCTTAACACTAACGATGTTTTTCCAACACAACCTTCACCAAGTAAAACAATTTTAAATTGTTGATTGGAAATTGTCATAGCCATCGTTTTCATGCAAGTCAAATATGATCAATATATAAAACTTTGATTTGCTTGAAACAAAAATTTATTTACACCGTAATTAATGTGATGTGTGTGTGTGTGAATGCAATGTCTTTGTGTCGTTGTTGTTGTTTAAATGTTTAATCATTTAGATGATGATTGGCACCAAAATAATTTGCGATTATCATCACCATCATCGTTTTCGGTGGCAACAATTTGATTGATTGATTATTGACTTGTCAATTTATTATTTATCACCAAAAAGAAAAAAAAATTCACAACAAATTCTCGGTGAGCATGTTTTTTTTTTCGAATGTAAAAAAACAAGAAAAATCAAAATAAAATCAACGTATGAATGAACCTATTCGAGAAGAAAAAAATTTGCCCAGTTTATACGTTGAAATGTAAATATTTGGTTCTTTTTTTTCAAATCACAATTTCGTGATGGCGCCACATACCGGATATCCATTAATTGGCCTTTAATTTCCTGTACGCATTGTTAAAATTTTCATGGAAATTAAATGGAACCGGAAACATGTCACCAATTAATTGGACAAAATGGAATTTTTTTCTTTTTTTTTTTTTTTGGAAATTTATTTTTTCACTGAATCAAAAAAAAAAAAAAAAATGTCACAATTACAAGCTGATTCTTTTCGATATAATGATAAAAGAACAACATTGCAAACAAAACATTGAACAAAAGTAATCAAATATTACATTAGGATGAAAATCACGCAAAAAAAAATTTTTCTTTTGGTTTGTTTTCAATCTGAAAAAAAGAATTTAACACGTGCACACGAAATTTTGAAACGAAAAAAAAACACACACACACACACACACGTTTGCTACAAATTAATTTATGTTTGTTTTTTTATTCTGTTTTTTAAATATTCTGTGTGTGTGTGTGTGGGTGTGTGTTACAGATTATTGATGAAAAAATAAGAAATAATAAACATGAACCAAAAAAAAAAAAAATTCATCACACACACACACACACACATTAATAATATTCTGGATATTTAACTACTACTTAAATGGTTCAATGATTGTTTGATTGATATCGATGAAAATTTATCGATGATGAATAGAATGTGGATAGGCAAAAGAAAAAAAATTTTTTAGAATTTTTAGACACCATGAAAATTTGTCGTTTTTTTTTGTCTGTGTTTGTGAATGTGATAACAGATGCAGAATTTTTTTTTCATTATGTAATCATCAATTGATCAAACAACAATGAACAATGAACAACAACGACGACCAACATTGGACATTTTTTTTTCATTTTTCATTTTTTTCATTCACCACCACTACCTTCGCTTGTTTTACTGAAACCACGTTTCAATCCAGAAATAACTGAACCACCCATTTCAACGATTCCTTTACCGGCATTGACAACAGCATCGGCACCTTGTTTTACCTGAAGAAAAAAAAATCAAAGAATAAAAAATCTGTAAGATTATTGAACAAACAAAAAACCGGATCTAAATACAATTGCACCAAATATGGATTTGCACTTGAAAAAACTTATTTTTCTTTCAAGATTCGTGTAATAACACATGTAACGAATCAAGATTATTATCATTTGATGATCATGATTATAATAGGATGAACCATATATAATCTTGACACAAAGACTAACCAAAAAAAAAAACCCAAGGCCAACAATACATACAATTGTGTTTGGACCTTGGAATGGTGTTGGTGTGTGTGTGTGTGTACCGTGAATGGTGGCTACATTTCATTCATTCATTCATGGACCCGGTTATATTCATACGGATCTTGTACACAATTTTCCATTCAATGACGCCCAATGACGTCAATCATCAGTTTCGTTAGAAAAAAAAGAGAAATGAAAACCTCCAACAAGAAAAAAAAAAAAAAAATTTAGAAGAAAAAAAAATTCGGATTCAAGATTCATTTCAACAACACAACCAGAATGAATGAATGAATGAATGGATGATTTCATTTCGGTCGACATACACATACAAATAGAGATTGCGCTTTTTGATTTTTGATTTTTTTGCTGATAATTCTTCCTCAGGGTTTCTCAACATCATCATGATCATCATCTTATTCATTTCAATTCATTTTGTGTTTATTTTTTCACTTTCAAATTTTATTTCATTTCATTTTTTCCACCTTCTTGGTCTTTTTTTTCACACTTTATGCATTTTGGTTGTAATGAAGTAAAGGAAAAAAGTGACCAATTTATTTATTATCAACAACAACATTGGTTCTATGGTTCTTAGGGTCGTACAGCAAAATAAATTGTCGAAAATTCTGTGAATTTTCCTCCACCTCCATCTATTGTCATTAACGATTCAATTGGTATCGTATCAACAACAGCAGCAGCAACAGCAAAAAACCATGTCATATGCACTATACAGATGTAGATGGGAAAAAAAATCACCAAATTCTTGAATAGAATTGTAAATAGAAAAGAATCAAAACTGGAAATTGATGTAGAAAAAAAATGATGTAAATTGAATACTGGAATTATTAAATTCTATATATTTGGGAATCCAAAAGTAAACGAGTGAGAGAGAGAAAGAGAGAGATCAAGCGAAATTATCTTTTCCCTAGAATATAGTATGAATACAAATGCCAATCTTGTACATGCAATGATGACGTTAAAAGGGTTAATCATTTTTTTTTTTCTGTAGAAAAAAAATTTGAGTAAATTAAATTTTCAAAATTTTCCTTTTCCATGGCTGTGAATCATCATCATCATCATCATCAAATGCTAGATAACGTTTGGAAAAAAAAGTGCACAGAATAACCGAATCGGATGGCAATAATTCGGCAAACTGAAACATACACACACACACACACACACACAACAATTGTGCCTATGATGATTCAATTCATTTTTGTTCGTTTTTGTCTGTTTTTCTGTTTGTTTGCAAACTTGACAAACGAACAAAAATGACAATTAATAAAAACATCGTTATCGTTATTATCAATGTAATCAATTGACATTTGACAAACGAAAATGTCACATTGTATTGTAATGTAACAACATAATACAAACACTGATTGTTTGTAATGTTTGTATCTAATGACACACACACAAGCACACAGAAAAATGACATGAAAATCTAAAGCGGAATTCATTGAACTTGTACAAATTTCTAATTTGATAATTCTAATGATTATGATTGCCATAAGAAAAAGAAATGATCCAGAAATGTCATTCAAAATCACGAAACAGCAACAAAATGGCTGTTCAGTGATTGTAATTGTGAATTTTGATTTGAAATTAATCACAGAAGTTGTCATAGAAATTTTTTACTTTCACTATTTTGGCACTAATTTATATAGGCTAGCCACAAATTAATTATGGACATGTAAATTCGATTGATTGATTGATTGATCAAACTCACCACTTGGCTAGCTTGTTGTGTAAGATTACCAATACCACCACCAAGAATATTACCAGGTCCAAAACCATGTTGATCGGTGGATGCAGATGCTTCGTCAAGTTGTGCATCTTTTAAATCATATTCAGCGTTCGTACCACCACCACCACCACCACCACCACCGGCCATTCCGGTTGTCGCTGCATTAGCATTAGTATTAGATGATTGATCATAATCAAAACTTTGTGTCATCGACATTTTTTTTTATTATTGATTATTGATTATTAGTAGTATGTGGAAGAAATATATAAATATTTATAACGCCTTTGTCAACAGGATCAGATATGATGAATTGAATGTTTTTTGTTTGTCGATCAATCTATTGAAATTCATTCAATAATCCAATGGTCAATGTCATCGACAAGGTCAAATGATAAATATGGATCATCAATTGTTTGTTGTTGTTGTTGTTGTTGTATCCGTGATTGGCGCAACAAAATAATTGTTTTCATTATCGTCATAGTTGTCGTTGTTGTTGTTGTTGTTGTTGTTGTTGTTGAGACAATCAATGGTGATCATGGTAATTGATGAAAAAAAATTCATAATAAATAGGGCGGTGCAACAACAACAACAACAATAATAATGAATAAATGAAAAGAAAAATGAAAATATTGAGCAATCATCACCACAAAAAATTATTGGCATGCAAACAAAAACATTGATCCAGAAACGAATAAAAATTGACCTACCTAGATTTTTTGTTTTGTTTTGTTTTGTTCACGTGAAGAAAAATCAGCCAAAATCTTTAATTCAAAAAGAAATTTTCAAAAAAAGAAAAGAAAAAGAAAAACACAAAGATAGAATCAAATCAAAGATTAATGTAACGCAAACACACACACAAAAAATCATCTAGAACATTGATTGATTGAAATGATCGATAACAAAAAAACAAATGATTTCTTAATGATAAAAATAGATCAACAAAAAAAAAAAAAAAAAGAGAAGATTAACGCACGTACGTATGAAAATTATTTTTTATTTTGGTGGACCAACACTGGATGGATATTTTTTTTTTTTTTTGTTGTTGTTGTCGTCGTCGTTGTTGTTGTTGTTGTTGTTGTTGAAATAAGAAATGAAAACGGATGATAACAGATTTATTTAATTCTGGTTTTGTTTGTCGTTTAAGTTATAAATGTGTGTAAACTTTTGTTATTATTACGTTGGATGTTTTCTCTTGTTGTTTGGTTTAAATGAATGAACCAGAAATAAAAAAAAAAAATTTTGGATCAAATGTTGTTGGTGAAACAATTTAATGATGCTGATGATGATGATGATGGTAATATTATAGTGGTGTTAAATATGTGATATATCGTGTATATATCGTATATGTATGTAGCCAGAAAAAAAAAGACACACAAAAGTTGCTTTGTATGTAATGAAACTAATAACAATAATAATAATGATGATGATTCGTCTCAAGCTACTCACTCACATACACACACACATACGATAAAAAAAAGAGTGAAAAAAAATACCCCAAGAATTTAACAAAGAAGAATATTCCATTCCAGAACTAGAAGCAAACGTGTGTGTGTGTGTGTGATGGAACAAAATGAGAATTCTGTATATATAGAATAAAATAGTCATTGTGTTAGGTTCAGTAGAGAATACTGGAACCAATTTTTTTTGTTATTTTTACAGTTCTGGAACTATAAACGAATCAATGGAATATATGGAAAGGAATAGTAGGAAGTTGTAGTAGTCATTGTTTGTTGTATATGTTTTTTGGGGGTGGTAGTGGTGGTGGTTTGTAGCAGTTGATTGGTTCATTGGTTATTCTTGTTGTTGTTGTTGTTGATGTTGTTGTATTATTCTATACTATTCCAACAATCCAATTTCAAAACAATGAAAATGAAAACTAAATCGAAAATTTAGTTCTCGGTTACATACAATATACTAAATTAGGTTGTTGGTTGTTCATCACACACACACACACACACGATAATAATGGCGACGATATATTTTTGGCCAAGGTCAAATGATGATGATCACCAGCCGCAGCAACAACAACAACAAACAACAGATTCTCCATGCTATATAGTATTTGCGAAATTTTTTGGATCCAAATCATTCATTCTAAAGTAACACATTTATCTATTTAGACAATAAAAAAAAAAAAGAAAAACATATTATGGGGTTTTTTTTTCTCTTCTCCAAATTCTAGTCAACCAGCCAGCCAGCCTATGAACTATAAACACACACACACATATCGTATAGCTGTAGTGCAAGAATATTCCTCTTTTTTTGGTTTCTTGACTGATTTTTTTCGGTGCAGAATTCATTTTTTTTTTTTTTTTTTTTTTATTTATCTCAAAATAAATGAACAGGAAAACTGGTTCAAGTAAATTAATGAGATGATGATGATGATTACGATGAACTAAATGAATAAACCGCTGATGAATGTTATTATTTATGGTAACTCTACATACATAGACACAAATAAAAATATATGGAAAAAACCAGCCAAAATCAGCCATCCATAAGATCACATAGGTTCTCTCCATTGTGTTTAATGATGTTTATTGTGTCCACATTTTTTTTTTTGGCCACATCGATTGTACATGTCATGTGGTCAAGGCGGTTTATTATTTTTTTTCTTTTTTTTTTTCAAATGAAAAAAAACTCTTCGAAAGTCAACTTCATAAATAAAACAAACTTTCACTCTCTCTGTGTGTGTGTGTGTGTATTTGGAGAATTTCCGAATTCATGAGGTCCACTTTTTTTCAGAGACAAAATTTTCAATTAGAATTTTGCCATTTGAAAGTCAATTGTTTGTAAATATAAAGAAAAAAAAGACGAAAGAAAAAAGTTTTCATCTAATGTTTGTTCCGGAAACATGGTAATATATACATCTTTGCCGTAAATATCTTGGAACCTAAAACAAGAGCAAAAACAAAAAAAAATTGACTGATAACTGAATGTGGTGCATATGAAAAAAAAAATTGGAACACATTCCATATGGATATGAATATGAAAAACGATGGAAAGCAAAAGTTTGCAACGTTCGATTTTTGATCGATTATAATCGAAAAAAATTTTTTTTTTTCAATCGGATAACAACAAAAATTTTTTTTTGAATTTTGCCGGTGTGGTATTATCAATTTTCTCATACGAAAAAAAAAGACCATTGACTGTTTTTCTGTTTCATTTTCTATATGGAATTTTTGATTGTATCGATGAAGTGAAAAAAACTGGACTATCGATTAATCGATCGATAGAATAATTAGATGTTACGATGTATTTGATTTGAAAGAAATAAAAAAAAAATTTCGAACACGACAAGAGTATATAAATATGTTGACAAATCTCCGTTTACATATATATTTTTAAAAAAAATCAATAAAGAATGAAATTGATGTTTTGTAAAGATGTTTAATCGAAAATTTTTACCATTGTCATCATATTTGACGATTATTGTGATCTGTGTGTTTGGCAATTTATTGTCAATCTTTGTGGATGCATCAACCATCGATACATGGAACAGTGATGATGCACAAATCAGATTAAAGCCAATCACAAATCAGGCTCAATATTTTAATCAATTATTAGCGTTGAAACAACAGCAGCAGCAACAACAACAACAACAACAGAGCCAAAAATCTTCATCTTCATCGAATCATCATGATGATGAAACGGTCCAAATAGCTGATGATAATGGAATTATTGATACTGGAATAAACGATCAACAAGAATTAAACGATGATATATCATCATCATCATCAGCATTACCAATACAAGATGAAAGTTTAATCGATGATAATGGTATTGGTGGTGATAATAATAATAATAATATACGTATAGCGGTTAAAAGTAAACGACGTTTTGAATATGTTCCAGTACATTTTGATCGTGATGATCAACAACAAACACCACGTATGATTGAAATTGTTTCCGATTCAATGCCATTACGGTTACATTTTAAATCACAATCGGCAGCAATTGTTGTAACACAATCACATATGTCACGTAAGAATGATAGAAGAAAAAAAAAAATAATTTTAATTTTTTTTTAATTTTATTTTACTTACATCAACAAAAAAAAACCTAATTTTAGCATCAATGAAACCAATAGAAGAAACAATATCTATGGATGAACCATATAGATTATCACATAAAGCATATAAACCGATTATACAGAATGTAAAAGAAATAATACAACCATATCGTAATATTGTGCAACAAGTTAAACCGGTAATCGAGAATATCCGTACAATTGTACCAAAAGATAATGATATTCATCATCAACATCAATCATCATCATCATCATCATTGGCATTATCGAATACACAGCAATGGAATGGTCATTTCAATAATAAAAAAAATAATGGAATTGAAAAAATTAACCAGAAAACTTATACAAATCGTTTTTATGAACCACAACAAAAATCACTACTACCACCACCACCACCACTACAACATCAACAACGACAAACATCAAATGGTTATAATCATCATGAACAAGTAAGCGAAAGTCAACAACATCATCATGGAATAAAGAAAAGAAAAGCGCCATACAAAAATATTGTAACACGTAATCAATCAACATTCGAAACAACAACAACAACTGCAGCAGCAGCAGCAGCAAAATTATCATCATCAACATTTTGTTCGAAATACAAAAATTGTTCCAAATAATAAAAACAACAATGATAATTGGAAAAAAAGAAATATGAATCTTATGAATGTTGAATCCAGTTCATTACAAAGTATCTATGTACCTGGAATGATGAATATTCGAAATGGTAAATTGAATGAAAATGATCAAATGATTGTTGGTGATCTATATAAAGGTACGTGAATTGATTTTTGGTCATTGATATATATATTCTAATAATAAATCTTTGCTTCTATTAGACAATTTAATTAAAAAGAAAATGGATAATGGCTACAATGATCAATATTTTGATCCATTCATTCGACAATCAACTGGACAACATATCGATATTTTGGAACATGATCATGATCATGATCACATGACCAATCATCATCATCATCATGATATTATGACTGATACCGATACAATGATGGATTTTCGTACCATTGGATTTAATAGCAATGACCATGGCCATGATCATCATCATCATCATTTCAATGATTTATCATTACCATCACATGAACATGAACAACAACAACATCTGTCACATCATCATCATCATAATCATTTTTTTGATGGCCATCATTATCATCCACACCATCATAATCACCATGATCTTGATGATGATGATGATGATGATAACAACCACCACCACCACCACCACAATCACCACGATCACCACCAACATATTGATGATGGTGATGTAATTGCTTTGATTGATAACGATGGTAACAGGATAGACGATGATCATCATCAATATCATAATCATTTTTTTTCAACATTTTAAACATTTAAACAATCATCATCATTGATGGCCATAAGAGATTAAGAAGAAAAAGAAAAAGAAGAAAAGAAAAACGAATTTTCCCTTGTTCAAATCCAAATTTTCTTCTTAATGAATCAACAACAACAAGAAGAAAAAAAATTGTCTTTTTTCTGCTCCATTTGTGTTTATTTTATTTTATTTTATTTTTATTCAATTGTAACGCATCAATGATGAATCACAATTATATTAAAAAAAAAAAAATAAGTAAATCAAGAAATATTCACTTTCTATTGATCCAATCAATTGGATCAATGTGAATGGGGATGACAAACCAAGATAATAAACAAACGAGAGAGAGAGAGAGAAATTTTTTTTTTCAATTTTTCTAATTCAAGTTTTTCTTTTACAACCTCAAGCAATACGATATTTATCATCATTATCATCATGGCTGATTGGATATTGAAATTATTCATTTGACATATATGGAATTACACACACACAATTATTATATAATCGATTATTGTTTTTTTTTTAAATAAACGAAAATTAAAAATTTTCGGAGTCATCCCCATCATCATCATCATTAATAATAATAATGATGATTCCTACTACCATTATTATTCGATTATTATCAAATCATATCGAAAGATTATCGTCGATTCATTGTGGATCAACTAAAACAATCATTATATCACGCAATATGTAAGAGCTAAATTTAGCCATTTTATTGTTGTTGGGAATCCAATATTGGATCCACAAGAAAGAAACAATAACAACAAAATGATTAGTGAGACAAAACTTTTTGACATCCAAACATATACACACACAAGGCAAGCATAATTATAATAAAGTAACGACGACGATATATCATGGAAATAATGTTTTTTTTTGCGAAATTGCAAAATCAAACTTTATCATTATCGAGATAGAATTTTTTTTGAAAAAATGGAGAAAATGAAATCGGATCAAATAATGTTTTTTTTTTATTATTATTATGAAATTGCAAAAATAAACTAGATTAGAGAAAGAGAGAGAGAGAAAACAAACTTTATCATTATCGAGATAGAATTTTTTTTGAAAAAATGGAGAAAATGAAATCGGATCAAATCTTTAAACTCATTAGTGATCACATTTTCATGATGTTTTTTTTTATTATTATGCAACAACAACAACAACAACAATAATTAATTTTGATGAAAAAAAACACCTTTTTTTCTGGCCATGCAAAAGTAGCAACATGTTTTTTTGTGATCGTTGTCATTCGAAATAAACTAGATTAGAGAAAGAGAGAAACGTTTGACGTACCATTTTGATAATCTTCATTTTTGTTAGTGAAATTGACCTTTCATTGAAACAAAAAAAAAATTCTTCATCCAAAATCAATTTAAAAATGAGCAGTAGTGGACAAATATGTCTATAGAGACACACACGCACACATTTTTTTTCGTTGACAACAACAACGTCAATATAGTCGGCGAGAGTTATCCGTATTTTTTGTTTTCAATCAATCAATCAATGATGATGATGATGATGATTACCAAAGTGGACGACATGGAAATTTTTTTTTTGTTTACCACTCACTTTTGCGAAATTTCATTTCATCAACATCAATGATGATGATGATGATGATGATGACCTCTACGATTACGATCCAAGATTTTTTTTTTTTTTTTTTTTTTCTCTAATTTCAAAATCCAGTCTTGTCTTCATTTATATGATCCAAAAACAAAAAATTTTTATTTCCGTTTTCATATGTTTGACATTTATTTATTTACACATTGCCTTTTTTACACACGAACACATCAATCTGCACACGTGGTATTTATTTTTTCTTTAACTGGATTTTTGTTTTCAAGGTTTTAATAAATCTCTGTTTACCATCAAATGGTGCCATATTTTCAACAAAAAAAAAAAAAAAAAATTCAGCCATTTCCCTTTAATTTTTCTTCATTAAAACTGATTTAATTGTAGCTCTTTTTTTCATTTTTTAAAACTCATTCAGTAATCATTCGAATACGGTCAAAGTTGTTTTTGAACAACACCTGTCTGTCGAATGTCTTTTTGAAGAAAGAAAGAAAGAAAGAAAGAAAAATGATCCAAATGAAATAAAAATTTTTCTGCGTTCACAAACATTGAAACCCGGATTGAAATGGAAAAAAATGGATGTGAAAATGTATTGCTTTCATTTCATTTCATTTCATTAATTTTGGTTTCATTAATTTTGGTTTCATTGTTAATGTAAAAAATGAAAATGAAAAAAGAGGAAGAAATTAAAAATTTAGTTTTTTGTGTGTCATGACATTTTTTTTTATTTTATATTTATTGAATTATTACCATTATTATATCATTAACGACAACAGTAGCAACAAGTTATTATTATTATAAAATTTAAATTGTCATCATATATAATAATTGAACTTGTCGTTGTCGTTTTCACATTATAATGTGAATGAAAATTTCATTTTTACACTCGAGTGTGTGTGTGTGTGTGTGTGTGTGTCTGTCGGGTATTTACAAGGGAAAATTTTTTACAATTTTTTTTTCTTAATGAAATATGATGATGATGATGATAGGTTTGACAAGAATTTCTGTCTGTCTGTCTGTCTCAATGTCCTGAAACTGTAATAATCATTGCTCATAAATGTAGGAAGAAATCCAGTTATGAATCCAGTTTTCTGCTCATTTCAATTCATCATTTGCTCCAATTAATTGATCTTTTTTGCTGTTGTTGTTGTTGTTGTTGTTGTTGTTGCAATGATCAACAAGTTTTTGTTTGCTTTATTATCCATCCATATTGATCGATTAAATTGATGCATCAAAGTTTACGGTCAAGGTCTTTTTTTTGAATGATGATAAAGAAGGTCTCTTGATTAGTGTGAGTGTGTAAGTTGAAGAAATTAAATCAATAAAATAATCTGACGATAAAAACAACAACAATCAATCAATTTAAATCAATCAAAACAACAGAGGACAATTTCTTTTGTTTGTCATTTGTTATATCGAACAAATGTTGTAGAGGATGATGATGTAGATTTTCTTTTAATTTTTTTTTTTTTTTCGAATCACAGTAGGACACATCATATGTGGATGGAGTTCACGGATTTGACATAATAATGATGATGATGGGCCAGATGTGAAAGTTTTTTTAAGAAAAAAAAACTCAACATTCAAGATTAATCATCGTATAAATATGACTAATGATAATTATCATCGTAACTCATGAAGATTAAATGAAAAAAAAATTTCGAGATCAAGAGAGATTCAGATAGAGAGTTGAATTTAAAATGGAATAAATAAATTAACTGCGCCAATGCTAATGGAAACAAACAAAAAATGAAATCCAATTGATCAATAATTTTCATTGTTTTATAATCAATTGATCGTTGGCCTATTCAAAGATAAAGATCCAAGTTTTAAACCATAAAATGAACAATATAACGATCACGATCAATCAATGATCGATGATTGAACCAAATGAGCATTTTTTTTCTTTATATCATAAATAGATAATGACATAATATAATTTGACTTTTATTCACACGCATACGCACGCACACAGGGATTAATGTCTAATTTTGGAACCTAAATGAATTGATCCATAATGAATGAAAAATAGAACAAAAAAAACACTGTTGTGTTTTCTATCCAAAATATCAAACGAATGAATGAATGAACGAATGTAACAGTGAAAAAAAAGAAGCTTGAACTTTTACAACAATGAATAATGATGATGATGATGTCTTGTTGTTGATATTAGATGATGACAATGAGAAAATTTCAAAACAACAACAATAAAATTGGATCATTTCATCAGTGGATATTTATTCATAAAGGAAATCGGCTTAAAAATATACAAACAATTCAAACAAACAAACAAACAGACAGACAGACAGACAGACAGACAGACAGAAAACTTTCATTAAATTAGATGTTATGAAATTCAATGGAAATGACAATGACCGGAAAATTGAAAGAAAAAATTTTCACCATTTTCGCTTTCAAACAGGATGAATAGAAAAAAAATCGGGAAATTTTGTTGTAAACCAATTTTGGTCACCCTTTAAGTTAATATAACGGAAAAAAACCGACCTGTCTGTAAATAGGTAAATTTGTTTGGATGTTTGTACATACACACACACACAAAATATCCTACAAATTACAAACATTTTCACGTGGTAATGGCCAGTTTTGTTGTTGTTGTTGTTGTTGTTGTTAATCGACTACATAAAAAAAGCCGTAGGTAAAATTGGATTGAAAAATTACACACGAAAAAAGAGAGAAAAAAGTATTTTACCCATTGGGAGAGAACAATCATGGAAAAGTCTCTGGAAAACATTTTTGTGTGTGTTGAGAGAGAGACAATGATCGCATAGACTCTTAGGGAGAAACTTTACTTGTTGATTTTGTCATTAATGTTGTTGTTTTGAAAATGTGATTATGTTGACTATTTAAATGAAAACAAATAAAATTTTCATCAATTCAGCAGCAATGGCCATTTATAATTGTAACATTTGAAAAAAAAAATTTTTTTTTGTTTCAATCAACATTAGTAGCAAAATGAAACGTGTCTGTGTGTGCAAATAATAATCAACAACAAACAACAAGTTTTTACCGGGAATCATCACCAAATTCTTAATCATCAACATTGATTTATTGAATTTCAAATTCCAACAAACAGCAACAACAACAAATAATTGTCTACCATTTTTTCCTGGTGCAAATTTTGTGCACACAAATACACAGCTGAATAATAATTTTCATCTAATAATAATAATAATCTGTGATTCTGTGCATATATTCACAAATTGAACTCATTAAATTGGAAACTTAATTACTATAAAATTTCTACTAATAATATACATTCAACAGGTAATAGTTGAATGAGTTTTGTTGTTGTTGTTTGTTGTTGTTGTTCAATTTAAATGATTTTTATCAATTTAATGATTGATTTATCAATTTTGACAATTTTTTTCGAGTTTGTCGCCATTTCACTTTTTGTTTTTTGTTTACAAAACATAAAACAAAATCAACAATCAATTTCAAATTACGAGTTTGTGTCAATCAATCAATCAATCAAACAAACAAACGGTGTTAATGTACCGGAAAAACATTTTTTTTCTTCATTTTCTTGATCACGTATAATTGTCGATACAAAATCAATTTTTAAAATAAAAGTAAAGAAAACAAAAATTCAATAATAAAAAAAACGATAGCCACCACATTGTTGAAATCGAAAGTTTTGTTTTGTTTTTATTTTTTCATTTGATTTATGATCTAGATTTATTTATTTTTGTTGTTGTCGTTGGTGGCGACAACGATGACGAATTATTTGCAAATGCAAATAAGGAACACAAGCGACAAACTTGTGTAAAGAAAAATATTAATATTCAAATTTTCAAAGTAAAGAAAAAAAACGGTACATTTTTCCCCCCCACCAGGAGAATGATGATGATAATCGACTTACTGATCTCGATCCAACCACTACTATCAAATCATCATAACAATCATCAGCCAAGTGTGAAGATTTGTAAACAAAACACACACTGAAACAGAAACAGAAATCGTATGAAAACACTGAGTGTTTGGAAAATAATTTTCAAGAAGATCATTTTTTTTTTTTCCTTTTTTTCGGTTCGATTCGATTTCGTTTCATATATATATATTGATTATATTCGTAATATGTTGGTTCATTCACATTCATTTTCTACTATTGTTGCCGCTACTGAACAAAAAAAAAGTTTTAGTCCCTTCACGGTTAATGTGCTTTTTTTTCTTCGTCGTTGTCGTCGTCGTTGTTGATCACTCAAATTTTTTCTGTTTTTTTTTCCAAATTCAATTAGCAACACGCCATCATCATCATTATTACCGAATAAATTAGTTGTGACAGCAGAAAAAAAACCTCGGGTAAAAAATTTAGTCTTGTCTGATTTTTGGTTTCCACTTTTCATCTGATTGTTTTTGTCTTGTTGTGCTGTTGTGAAAACAACAAACAAAACGTCATCAGTCGAGATTGTCAGTTGAGAAAAGCTGAAAACAGCAACAAATTTCTCACTTGTGGAAAAAAAACAATAAATAATTAGAGCAAAAATCGGTTGATTTTCGTTGATTTCGATGTTTTTTTCGCTCTCGATTTGAAGATCGAAACAGCCATTCATCATTATGAATGAATGGGTAATTTAAACAAATATTTCCGGTACGAATTATTGAAATTTTTTATTTTCATTTTGTTCATAAAATTAAATGGTGAAAAATTGGAAAACAAAACATCGACAACAAAACTTTTCATTTTTTTTTCTCTAATTTACTATAATTTTTCTACATTTCATATATATAGAACATAAAACAAAAATGTTAATTTCGTGGCAATATTTTATCACTTTTGCCATCATCATCATTGGTTCTGTTGGCTGTTCGTTGAAACCAATGGATAAAGATGAAATGATGATTGCCGAAGAAAGTAAAAGATTTTATTCTTCATTAAGATATCCATCATCATCATCATCATCATCATCTACAACACCACAACAGTCATCATTATCACCATCATCAGCAGCATCCTCACCATCAACATCGTCGTCTTCATCAGCATTATCATTGAAAAATCATCGAAATAATGATGAAATTTTTAAAAAATCATCATCTGAATATTGGCCACAATCAGAATTGCCTATGTTGACAAATAATGAACATCATTCTCATTCATCAATGATACAGGATCATTATTCGGATGATACACCATTTCAGCCATTAAGAAATTCAATGCAACAAGCCGATTATCTTATGACCAGTGTTAATCAAGCTTATTTGAAAGGCAAAGATATCAATGTTATGCCTGAACATAATAAACCGATTACATTACATTATCGTACACATGCACAACCAATTGTCGTACATCAAACACGACTTCCAGGTTAGTTTTTTTGAATTTTAAATCCATAGGTTATATATAATTATTAAATCTCATGATTATGATTAACATTTCTGAATTATCTGATAATTTCTTGACGTGATCATCATCGTATATAATCATCATTTTCAGCAATTTTATTTCTAGTGTTATAAACATTTAATGTTCTAATTATTTTTTTCCATCCATCAACATAGGTCCAAAATCTGAGGTCAAATATACCACATCACATGAAGATCCTCAACGCGTGGTACATGAAGTAATTAGGCCAATTATTCAAGAGGTCAGTAATTAGAATTATTGTTTTGATTTGTTTTATTAAATTTATATTATCCACTAATTTATTCTAGGTTCATGAAATTATTCAGCCATATAGACGTGTAGTGCAACAGGTACAGCCAGTCATTGAAGAGGTTCGTACAATTATTGCAAAAGATGCTGGTAAATCATCTGGTGGTGGTATGGCTGATCATGGATCATCATCATATTCAGCAGCAGCGGCAGCAGCATCATCATCACAGCCACAAATGATTTCTAATCATAAACCTATGCAACAACAACATTATCAAAGTATTTCTGGACCATCGAATGAAATTTTTCGTCATTTAAGCCCAAAAACCATACAATCATATCGAAAAGCAATGTATGAACAACAACAAAATGCAAAATCTTCACCAGATGATGATCATGTATTACCGATGGCAACGACAAATAATAATCAACAAAATAATCGTTTCATTCGATCAAGGGTATATATGACGCCCAAAGGTGTTCCAGTTTATCAATCCAACTATAGACCTCCAGTTTATTTAAGTGCATAATCATTAATAATAAATCTATTGATGATTGAATTTTCAATCATCAATTTTATTGAGTGGTAAAAAAATTTTTTTCCGGAACACTCTGATCATCATCATCATCATCATCATGACAATATCCACCATACATTCATTTGGTTATTATAAATGTGTATTATAAATTATACTTTTTATTATTATTATTATTATTAAGTTAAAATGAAATTTTTTTTTATATATCAATAATCAATAATCAATAATAATGAATGAAAAAAAAGAGAAAAAAAATTGATTCTTAAATAATAGACGACATTTTTGTTATTATTTGTGTATTTTGAATTGAATAAGATGGGAACAATTTGTCAAATAAAGAGCATTCATTGAATTTGGTTATGTTGTTCATCATCATCATGGCCATTTCATAATTCTGTATGGGATTTTTGTGATTCTTCATCACCTGCTGCTTCCGTTGTCGTTGTTGATGGTGATGAAGTGGATGATTGGCTTACTGATGATGTTGATTGTGGTGGTGGTTGTTGTTGTTGTTGTACAGATGTTGTCTGTTGTTGTTGTTGCTGTTGTGTTTGTTCAGCATGATCTTCTGATTCATATGGTGGATATTTGTAATAGGTCAAATCTCGTCCTAGTTCACTATTATTAGCCCTTGAATAAGAGAAATTAAAAAATATATAATTCAAAGCTGAAAAAAACATCATTCTGACTTACTTATCAAAAATTGATTTTAAAATTGCAAAACTATGCCGATAACGTTTTTCATTCTCTCGTAATGCTTCCAAATTATCTCGTCTTGTTTGTTTCCAACCGGGCATATTCAATTTAAGCATTTCATCTGGACTTAGATTTTCCATTGAATTTATAAACGATGTATCATCGTAACGAGTTTGAATAGTTTTATTGCGTACTTTTTCTGGTATACGTAAATTGATTATGTTACCATCTTCATCTCGTGGTAATGGCTCAGGTTTAGGAAGATGACATACATCAACTGGATTGGCGGAATATGGACCATCCGGATCTGGTGGTTCATTCATTGGTGGTGGCTGTGGATTACGTTTACAACGTAACATTTCTGGTATGCCCATATTATCACGTGCCCAAAGTCGACAAATAGGATACAATGGTATATAGTGATTTGGATTCGTTTTACAATATGATGTTAAATCGACGGATTTTTCAAATACTTTTACAATAAATTCATTTGCTGAACCTTTGATTGGCGATAATTGTTCACTGGTTTCTTTACGTGATTTTTTCGGTTCATATTTAACACGACGACTTTTTAATTCATAACCATCAAATGCAGAATCATTTTTATTTGTATGACCATTCTGTGGTCGAGTTTTTGTCTGCATTTGATTCAATAATTGACGAAATTTATTTCGTGATTCAATCAAACTATTTGCATTTTTACGTTTTCCATATTGTTTTCTAGGAGTTATATTACGTTCATTATTGTTTTCACCATTCTGTGAATTATTATCCACACCAAGTATACTGTCTTCATCTGATTGCAATGATGGAATTTCGGCCAAATTATGTGTATTCACTTTTTTATTTGGTGGTGTATAGATTGGATAGAATTTCGATTTATGATTACCAAATAAAAGATCAATATCATCGAATATTTGTGAAAGACTTTGGCCATTTTGTGAAATATTTTGGCCAGTACCATTGACAATATCACCAGTCTTTTCACTATTTTTTGTCTGTCTTCTGGCTATTCTTGATGATGCCCGACTTCGATTCATGATGGCTGGATATTCACCAAACTATGTAAATGAAAAAAAATTTAAAATGAAATTCAAATAAAAAATTTGAAATTCTTCATATGAAGAAAAAATACCACAATTTTTTTCAGATTGCAAATTTTGCGCTCAGTTAAATGAAAAATACAAAAAGAATCGAAGTAACGAACGAATTCATCGATAATAAGAGTCGAAATTATCCGTTTCACGTCATTACCACTACCACAGTTGTTATAATAAATGCATATAAAATTGGTCACAAAAAAAATGATGAATGTAGCGAAATAATTTCGAATTCATCCGATCACTAGATGGCGATGTGTTGAGCACTATTTTATTTTTTTTTTAAACACACACATGCATGTCATTGAAATATCATGGTGCATGTATGTGTTTTGTGTGTGTGTGTATGTGTATGTGATAAAGCTCATGATACACTCAAATTTTTCACAAATGTTATCAAAACCACTTGATAAACAGCTAAAAAAAATAGGAGTTAATTTATTGATTATTGATGATATCAATTCAATTGATGCAAAATTTGAAACGACATTTTTTCTCATTTAAAAATTCATTTATTCTACAAACCAAAAGAATGAAACAAATATCTATTGATGATAGCCAAAAATTGGACAATTTAATCAAAGAAAATGAAGATAAAAAATTAATTCTATTGTTTACCGGCACGAAAAAAGCCAATGGTAAAAGTTGGTGTCCAGATTGTGTTGTTGCCGATCCAATAATCGAAAGTGTTGTGAAAGAAACTACAGAAGATCAGAATATGATTTTTGCTACCGTTATGGTGGGCGATTTACCAAGGTAATTATAATTAGTGATCAAATCAGCTGTAAAATAATAATCATAAAATTCAATCTTTTTCACCCCCCAAAAAAAGCTGGAAAAGTTCAGATAATGGATTCCGAAAACATCCAAAATTTGCCATTAATTGTGTTCCAACACTCGTCAATGTACCATTGGTAAGCATTTCTTTTTTCGATGATTATTTTGTTAATTAATTTGAAAAATTCTATTCGTAGAACATTCGATTGGAAGAAGGTGGTTGTGCAGACAAGACATTGGTGAAAAAATTATTCGAAGGAACATTAGAAACTGGTGTCACTTCGAAAGCTGGAACCTGTGTGGATGGTGTATGTCGACTTCGTTGATCGTTGAATGAATGATCCAGTGAATTTTTTTTTTACTAAAAAATTGATTTTCGAATGAAAAAAAAATCAATAAAATCAATTTTTATTTTTATTTTTGTAAATTATCATTTGTGACTAGATTTTTAAAACATTCACACACACACACGAAGACACAAAAATCAATCAAAAAGAAAGAAAAAATCCAGCACAAAAAAAACTGATGGGTATAAGTTTATGAAACAAAAAAACAAGCAAACAAACAAACAAACAAAAAAAAACAAAGACAAACAAGACATTGCACATTGAAAGTATAGCGAAAAACTATCAAAAAAAACCACCATGTGGTTCGAAGAAAAATGAACATTATAATATTTTCTGGATTAAATATATATAAAAAAAAATTGGTTACATAAATGGCAAGACCGTAGATAAATAAATCACCCAGAGAACCAAAAAAAAAAAAAAAAAAAAAATGATGATAATGTACATAGAATCACTTGTTGAATTCTTTAGTTGATTTGCCTTTTTTTTCAAATTATGGTTGTACCATTGATATAGTTATTAGATTCATAAGAATTTGATGGCCGATTTTGTTGTTGTTGCTGCTGCTGTTGCTGTTGATCATGATCATTATCAACAGTGTTATTGCTATTACCAAAAATTAATGATGCAGATGATTGAGAATGAGGCATAAAAAAATTCGTTGGCTGACATTCCAATGTTGGCAAATGACGCATCTTTAATGATCCATCAGCACCACATGAAAATAACCGGCCACATGTATCGATATAGAGATGAGAAACACCCATACCAATGTTACGGAAAAATGTATTACGTGCATGCTCACCAGGAAATGAATGTAAAAGTGATCGATTTGATCCATATAATGACCAAACCTTGAAAAAAAATAAAATTATTAAACAAAATTGCAACAATGGACAGCAGAATGATTCTATACCTTGATATCACCATCAGCTGAACCGGTTGCAAAAAATTCTTCATTCGGTTCCAATGCAATACATTTAACAGCCGAATCATGTGCATGAAAATGATCTTTTTGAATACGTTGTCGAATATCGAAAATGAATATATCGCCTTTTTTACCACCAGTGATAATCAATTGACTTAATGGTGCGAAAATAATCGATGAAGCACCGTTATGTTCATGACAAGCAAATGCCAGGACAATGCTACGTTCACGTGGTACAAGTGTATCCACCAGTACTACATTACGATGATCAGTTGAATGTCCAGCTGCCATCAACAGTGATGATGATGATAAAAATGTAAAATCGCTTGTAGTTTTATTGTGACATTGAAAATTCTAAAAAAACAGAATTGATTAAATTCATTTTTTTAGTTAAAAAAAAGTCTCAACGACATACCCAGAATGGATTAGCACTAGTGTTAGCCGTTTGCCATAATGATAATGTTCCATCACTATCAGTAACACCAAATTTACTGCCTGGTTGACTGAAACCAACATGAGTAACTTTGGCATAAGTTCCAGCTGGTCTTGGCGTCGATATTGGCTGCTGATAGGTCCATTCCCATAATTGAACACAGCCATCTTGACCACCGGATAAATCTAGAAATCCAGATAAACAAAATTCAGTATTATGAAACAATAACAATAACAAAAAAAAATTTACATAAAGGCAACGTTGGATGAGAAGCCAATCGTCGAACAGTTTCGGTTTTATGTCGTTTCACCTGAAATCAAAAAAAAAAAAAAAAAAAAATTCCAAATGAATCAATTAATCAAAATTCTTTGTAAAACAGGATGAAAAATGAAATTTAAAAAAAAAAAAACGAAAAAAAAGCAAATGAAAATGCAAAGTTGAACCAAAAAAAAAATGAAACAGAAAAACAAAAAACGAACGAAAATGAAGAAAAATAAAAAATGAATGAAAATAAATCAAAAACAAAATATCGACAAACTTTATAATGGATTTTTTTTCAAAAAATAACAAACACATTCATTAGCTTACCGGCTTAAAAATATGACGACTTCTTTCAAAGATATATTGACAAAAGTAAGGATTGGTATTTCCTTGAAAATGGTGTTTAGACTTTTATATATATAGAATTTGTATAGATTTTTTTTGAATGGTGTAATTGGGTGTGTTTTAATTTTGGTTCAATAAATTGGGATAGCACAAGATAGAAAGAAACAACATAGAGCGATAACGAGAATGGAAGCGCCGGAGCGAGAGCATTAAAAAAGAGAGAGAGAGAGAGAGAAAAAAATTTTGGTTTAAAAAAAAGCAAGTTAGTTTTGTTTGTTTTTTGGCTAATTTTAAATTTTTTTTTTTTTTGTTTGTTGATTTATCTATTTTTATTTTTATTATCAACAAATTCTATATAAATTGATTCGATGTTTTGTTTTTTTTTATTTCACTCCCCCCTCCCATGCAGAATAAAAGAATATAATTGGATACTGTATAATTATTAGAACTCACCAGAATGGGCTGTTTTGTGGGTGTTTGCTGTTGTTGATTACTGCCACCACCAACACCACCAGTTGTTGCAGCTGATGATGATTGTTTCTGAAAGGCTAAACCACCTGGTGATGTTTGTAAACGATCAGCTGGATGTTGTACCAATAAAAAATCAACATAAGATGATGTTTGGAATGATCTTTTTTTTGAAAAAAAATAAATTAATATAGATTTTATTTTAAAATCAATCATCGATTCGTTTACCTTTGTTTTAAATTATAAATATCCATTTCAGTATCCTCTTCCAACCAAGGTACACATACTTCTAGTAATGATTTTATATTCAGTTCTTGTATCTCTTTAGGTGTTGATAAAGCAATCAAACCACTATTTGAACGATCCATACAGAATGCACTGATATTATCTTGATCTTTATGAACAATACGCATTGGTTCCATAATACGACGTGCAGCAGCATTTGTTGATGAAATGACAGCAGATTCTGTTGTTTTATTAGTAGCTAACATTTCGACATCTTCATTTGTTGATTGTGCCAAAGTTGTTTTCATTGTATTATCATTATTACTATCATATTGATCATTTATGGCAACAACACCTGAATTAGCATTACATACGGATGTTGCACCATTATCACGTGCTAATTTTAGCGAACGATCTTTACCGAAAATATATCGTATAAAAATATCTTGAACTGATGGCTGTCGTACCAAATAATTCCAAAGACGTTTAGCCGATTTAATCGACGTGTAACCGGCACGAAATGGTGTATTATTATTTTCAAATAATGATTTATATCGTTGTATTGAACCACTTGATCGGCTATTATCCACAAACATATTTGGTAGAAAATGATCTGGAATATTAGTAAATTCATTCATATAAAATTGTAATGAACATTGCCAACGAATTATTGTACGCAATGTACTATGAATAAATGGACTAATGGTAGGAAGTTCAGTTTTCTCAATACCAGCAATTTGAAGAAAATTATTAATTTGTTCATATGAAATTTTCGTTGCAGCCAATCTGATTATACACCAAGCATATAATTCATATTCTAAATTGGCTTTTTTACGTTCCATAGATTTATCCATTTTATTTTTCATTGATTTATTACCACCAGTTGCCCATTCATTATATTCATCATCATCGATTGTGATTGTATCACTTGTACGGAATTTATTTGATAATAATGATGTCTCATCATTTTCATCGTCCATTTCATCTTCACTACCGAATGAATCATAATCCAAATGTATTAGATCATCAGGTAATTCTGGTTTGACCATCAAATGATTGATAATGGATTTATTTGGTGGTACAAATACTTCACGATATGTAGGTCGTTGTTCCAATGTTGGTGCTGTTAATCCTGAATTAGATTGACCAGGTTGTTGTTGTTGTTGTTGTTGGGCCAAAAATGGATTCGTAATATTTTGCAATGTACTACTTGGTGATGTAGCAACATTACCGACAACTTCAGCTGCTTGATTCAATTGTTCAAGAATTTTCATATGTAATTTCATACGTTGTTTTGATAACGTGTTTAACAGATCATAATGTGGTGAATTTGTTGCCGGATTCGTTGTTGTTCCATTCAATGTTCCCGTAGTTTCATTTGGTGATATTGTTCCTGGACTTTGTCCCAATGTAACCGTAGATGTTGAAACATATAAAAGTTTTTTAGTACCACCACCAAATAAATCACCCCAACTTTTTTCAGAAAATCTTAATCCAATTAAACGATATAGAATGCTTGAATCACAAATTGTTAATGCATAAACAAGTTGACTAAGATAAACGGCAACAAATCCTTCACATAATAATGTATGTAATTTTGGAAGATCTTCATCTTTTTCACGTGCAATCAACGCCTGTAATGCTTGAACACCAGGCCATTTTGACGGATTTGTAGTTGGACCAGATTTATCTTCTGCACCACCATCACCACCACTATTACTACTTGTCGTCGTTCCACTTGGATCTATTTTCGTACCAAGATCTTTATCTTTATATCGTGATAAAAAGATTTTTTATTCACATTACTTCCTGTAGGTACATTGATTGGACTGCCTTGTGTGACGGAATCACAATCACAAAGTGATTGATATATACACGATGATAATGATATACCCAAATCACGTAGAATATGAATCAATGTATACAAGGTTCCAATATAATTTTGTTGTTGTGATATTTGTTGTGTATGTGACGAAGAATCTTTCATCATCGATATCAATGTAGTTGCGGCAGTACCGGAAACCATAAATGGTGGTAATGCTAAAAAATCTGGAAATGAAAAATGATTCGTATTGTTTCTGATGTGAACATAGGTATTAATCTCGGTTAGTGTTTGTAGAATATCATGTGCCATTGATTGTAGATGACGTATTGGATCAGCAACAACAGTTTTTTGACTAGCAACTGATGCCGTTAATAATGGTAATGTTGTCGGTAATGGCAATGGTGATAGAAGCTGTTGCTGTGGTGATCTATCTTGTCGTAATTCTTGCAATAATAATATCAATTCCATTCGAACGGATGCTAATCCACCACCATGACCACCATGCAATGAACAATAACTAAGTAAATTCAACAATAATGCTTCATTAGTTGAAAGCCATTGTTTTCGTCGATGACAACGTTCTAATTTAGATTGAAAATCTTCTTTATCAGCCAAAAGAATTTCATGTAATGATGGTGCTGCTGTCATTGATGTTGTTGAATTATCGGATGATTTACGATTATTATTACCACCACCAACAACTTTAACTAGAATACCGCTTTGTCTATTGTTACTTGTTGATGATGATGAATCATTTGTTGCTGCTGATTGCGGTGGTGGTGGCACTAAACTATGTCCATGTCGATTAGTACTAGTATTATCGATGCTAGATCGATATGAAACGGAACGCATTGAAAATGTATGATATTTACATATTTCTTTTAAAACTTCAACAGATCGTTCAAGCCATATATAAAGCTGATATCGTAGTTGACCACCATCAACTTCGAATCCTGTAGCCAATGTGCTTAGCTCTTCCATAATAATTTTCAAACAGGAAATGAATTTAAATTGTTGTGCCATCATATCAATGTTACTAGATTCTTCTGAATCTTGATCTTCAGCTTTAATATTTTGATGATTATTGAATATATCGTCATCAGCATCAATATTTTTATCTTCAATCAAAACTTTTTTCTCATTTTTACGTTCATCATCTGATAATTCGACATCATCATCATCGTCATCATCTTTGCCAAAATCAATTTTAAATTCATCTGTTGCAACAGGTGCAAAAATATTCGAAGATGGTGTGCCCCAATCAAATCCACCACCAACATCATTATTACTAGAAAATAAATCTGCAGCTTTAGCTTGTGGCTGTTGTTTAGCTTGTGGTGTTTCTGGTGTTTCACGAATATAACCAACAGCTGTAGCAGCATCAGGAATAGATAATCGTCGGCTACATTCTTCCATTTCATTCTTTTCTGAATCCGATACAATATTCGTCGGTAAACGTGACAAAACTTCCAATGCTAATGATGGACAGCCAGCTTGAAGATGACGATATGCTGTCAAAAAGAATAATCTACGTTCGAATGGTGTAACAGCTACAGCATCTTTTGATTTATTCGATGATCGTGTAAACATATGAGATTTTTTCTGCGATCGCATATTTGCATCTTGTGTATCAATATTTTGTCGTGCAACTTGTGCACGTCGTACAATCAATGGTTGTGTACGTAGATAAAGATAAAAATTGAAAACATTTGAATGTAATCCTTCAAAACGATCTCCACCGGCATTCAATAGTTCTGATTCTTTTGTAGTTGTTGTTGTTGTTGGTGATTGAACATGTGGACTATTTGTGGTAGACATCATTATTTGATAATGTTTATTTCCAACATTCATTTCAAGCAAAGTGGATAATGATAAATTATATTCACCAAGCATCCAATAAGCCATACTTCTAAGGAATGGATCCGGATGTGCATATTGCATATTCTGAATATTTTTTTGATAACCAAGAATTTCTTCATTCAATAAACGTTTCAATGTCTCAGGAACGGCATCAATATCACCACCTTCATAAAGTCGAATAATGACCATTGCCAATTGAAGATCATTCAATTTATTAAGACAAATTTCCACTGCATCCCAAAGTGATCCGGCCAATAGAAAAAATGAAACCGAATGTTCAAAACGTTGTTTGCCCATTAAAACATAGGCATTTTTCAGCGCAGCTTTTCGCCATTTATCTTCAGTGAAATTATGTGAAAAGAAATCGGTCATTTTTTTATCATGACAAGAACGATACAATCCCCAGACAAGATTCTTTTTTCGCATTGCCAAATAATATAACGATGCATCTAATGGATCATTTTTCTGTTTGAAAGCTGTTTTAGCTAAACGTTCAATAACTTTTTTCAAAAGACTATTATTTCTGATCCAAAATCCGACACCTAATTCACGTAATTCTTGCCAACCAATTTTATTGGATGAAGCCATTATCAGCTGTACAAGTTCTTCTTGTGTTTCCGAATGAAAGGCCCAAATAATATTATGTGTTCCAAGACCATTTTTTTGTAATGTATTACGTTGTTTCAATGACAAACATTTCAATAGATATACATGTTGTCGCATATTCAATAAATATCGTAGACCACAATCATCCAATGAATTGGCAGTGATAGCAAGTTGTTGTTCATCTATCACTGCATTGGAATCATTAGAGAAATTTATCGATTCATCACGTGTAGATCGTGCTTGATTTTGATCAATTTCATTAAACGATGCTAAAGAATCGGCTAAAGCCAATAGATGCATTTGATCCAGACTAGTAAGACCAGGTAAATGTGAATGTGTCAGCAATTTGGTCAATAATCGAGCTTGTTTTTGATCAAAATTAATTGAAATATGTAGCTCAGTATCAGAATCTTGTTGTTGTTGTTGTTGTTGGGATTGTTGAGATTTCAAATATTTGTTGGTAGCAACATTAGAAAAATTAAAAGCCGTTCGGTTTCCAAGAAATTCATCCAATGTTTCTTCTACTTGTGTTTTGTAATTATATTCAAGAAAATCGGAATCCAATGTTTCCGTTGAATCTAAATTCCATGATAGACCGGAATCTTTTGCCGTTGATTTATTATCATTATCTTTTGTCGTTGTTTTATTATCTTTTGTTACACCTTCATCAGCTTGAATCAAAGCATATAATGGTAATGGCCGTATTGATGCAATTTCCGTATAATCTAATTGAATTTCTTCAGCTACAATTGGTGCAGCATTAGCATCTCCATAGGAATCACCAGAATAAACATCGCCTCTTGGTGAATGTTGTGCTGCTACGGATAATGCACGTGTTCTGGTCCATTGTCTTGGACTACGATCGGATGATGATTCAAAACTAGAATGTTGTTGTTGCATATTTGCTGGATGATGTAGATATTCTTTCACTGAATTGATTGAACATAATGAATAGACTAAATGTGAAAGAATAGCACGTACACGATGTATTTTACCAAATGCTAATAATTCCATTAATTGTTTGGGATGATATTGTGGAATAACTGGCGATGAATTATGAAATGATTCAAATGCGCCTAAATCTTCAAATTCATCAGAAATGATTTTATCACCACCACCACCACTAGCAAACATAATGCTAGATGTTAAAGTCGTTGGCTTTTGTTCATGTTGTTGTTGTTGTTGTTCATCCATTTTATTCTCTTTATTACCAATGAACAATCGATCGGATTGAAATTCTACTGAATTGAATGGATAATAAAAAGCTAATGAATTTCTATGCGATGCACGTATGTTGAGATTTTGTTCGAAAACAATCGGCAATGATGTTGGTAAACGGATTTTCCATTGTGAAAATATCAACATTTCATTGTCCATTCCAACGACAAGAATACCATCACGTACCCAAGACAATTGCATTGGTAATGGTGGTAAACCATCAATAGAATTCAATTCGGTAATGCGTAACATCATCCATCTTGTAACCGGTATCGTGCTTAATGAGAGATCCAAAATATTCATTCGAAAACTACTTGGAGATACAGCAGCAGCATTTGACTGTTGTGGTATCAATGTTGATGGTGAAGGTGAAATCATTTTTTCCTGTCCACCAGTATTTGATGGAATTGTCGTATGTGAAATCGGTGCAAATAAAGCCAATTTATGTCCAACGGAACAGGTAAGCATATGGCAACCATCTTCAGTGGAAACCCAATCCAATATAATTGGTGATTTTTGGCAAAATGTAAATTGATTTCCTTGTTCAGCGATTGTTTGTTTCAATGAATGAAGAGTCGAACAACTTGGCACAGGATGAATTGCTTGTTTTTTAATATTGCTTTGTAGTTGAGCAATCGGATCAGAATGAAGATGAATATCTGTCATAAAAGGATTGGTGGTAGATTGAATATTTGGCGATATTTTTGGTGAAAATTTATTACGTAAACTATTACGTAAATTAAAATCTACTAATGGTCCAAGATTTTCTACTGCAGACGATTGTCCAATCAATGGTATTCGATCCACACGAATTGTATCTTCAAGAACCCATTCAGAACCACCAGATGATTGACATTCATAAATCGATATACCAACATTGATGAAGCGAGATTCTTTTTTATTAGCTTTCACTTCATCAGATGAATTGTTGATTTCTTTCGTGAGTTCATCAGAGAGATCAATATAGGAATGACCATATTTGAAAGCACAAGCAATTCTGCCGGAATAAGCACATGAAATATGTAAAGGAGATCCAGGTAATTCGATTACGCTTGATGTTGTTGTTGTTGTTATCGTTGTTGTTGTTGATTCCTGAATTGAAGTTAATTTCGAAAATGATGATGGCTGATGATTACCAGTAATGGCCATTTCCCATTCGATCCATTCAAATCGTGGATCATTATAATTGACACCAAAATCCGATGTCAAAACTTTACAACTCCAAAAACGAACACGATTATCACTACAAGCGGTGGCAATCAAAAATGGTGCATAACAAGCAGGATAAATATTTGAAGAGCTAAGATGTCCAGCAGATGGTGTAGCATGTATTATTTCAACATTTGATGGTAATGTTAAACGTTGTGTACAAACTTTTTTTGATTTAATACGTGAAGGCGATGTTGTTTGTTGATTTGTTGTTGAATAATGATGATCAGCACCATTATTTTCTGGTGAAACACTACGTGAACTATCTTCATCAAAAACATTCGATTGTTCACTTGAAAATGGTACTGTTGTTGATGATAAATTATTTCGATTATTATTCGATGATCCAGATGAAATTGTTATTTGCCACATATGTAATGTGGAATTTACACCAGTTGTTTCAATTACAACCAAATAGAATACTTCCTCAAAATTGGTCGAACGTGAATCAATATAATCATGAATATCAAAATCGAATGGTAATTTATCTGTTGTTTTATTCAAAGAATCAGCACTGGTAGGCGGAATGGAAGCAGAAGCAGCAGCAGCAGTTCGACGTGTTGTTAAATCTTCATCATTATTATTAATTCGAATTTTTCGATCACCAATTATAAGTTGTTCTTGAAATAGATGTAAAAGTTGAGTATTTTGCCAATCATGTCTTGCATCGACAATTGGACTCAATTCAAGTACACATCCAGGTCTAGCTGTAGATTGAAGGGATACAATTTTGAATAAACTACGAAAAGCATCATGATCTACTTTATCAATATTTTTTCTTTCTTTTGTTGTCATTGTTCCTGTTTCATCATCTTCATCTTCTTCTGATGAATCATAATAAAATCGTCGTGAATCATTTGCACTAAACATATAACGTTGTGCTTCGGCTAATAATGATCGTGCATCAATCACCACTTGATAGATACGTAATTGACGACCATCCGATGCAACGAAACAAGCGCTAGGTGAATTAGTGATTGGACCTAATGTTGTACTTGGTAATAATGTTGGTATCCAAGCTACATTTGCAAATGATGTTGGTTCTAAAGAATTTATACGTGCCAATTCTGTAACACCACCAAATTTCATTAATGGACCAACCGGTTCCACTTTCCAGAGAATCAATTCGGAACAAAAACCAGTATTTGGAAATGTTCGTGATTCAACCATAATCTGATTATTATGATTTGGCGTTGAAGGCGAAACCAAATATGCTGTTGAATCTGGTGTGTTTGGTGTATGATCGAATGGTGAAAATGAATGTGCACGACTACGAAATGTTCCAGGAAGATTATGATGCGATGTGGTTAATAATAAAGGCAATACAGGATGACAAGAAATATCATTAACACGAAATCGATGGCCACATACTCTACGTGAATGACCGATACTCAACAATTGTGTAAAATGTCCTTTTTCACTGAAAGATAATTTCCATAGATTCAATGATCCATTATTATGTTTGGTGATCATACACAATGTAGGTGTAGCATATGAAGTAGGACCAAATAATGGTTGCTGTTGATTATGTTGTTGATGAGTTTTATGGGCTAAATTCACCGATTGATGTTGTTCGTTGGCCACCGTATTAGTAGTAGTAGTAGCTTGTACAATATTTGATTGTAATGCAGCATTGATTATACTTGCTGAAGATGTACAAAGAATGGTTTTCAAATCCAAACAACAATGTGGTGAATACAATGAAACATTATGTGACATCGTGGATGCGTCACCTAATGGTAATGAATTTGGAATACGAGACGAGAAACTGATTTGTGGTTGACGAAACACTGATGGACATGGTTCATCTAACCATTCAACTAACCATACAAGTAAACTACCATCCAATGGATGAATACTGTAAAGTAAATCTGTACTTTGATTCCATTCACGCATTAATGATTCCAATTTTCGATCCAGATAATCGGCAACAGTACGACGATTTTGTTGATCGGATACACGATCTTGAAGCATAACAGTTGTCGTTGATTGATCTGGACCAACGGCTGTCATAATAGAAACGTTTGATGAAGAATTACGTGAAGATGATGGTATTGCTGGCTGAGCTGAACCTGGCTGATGAGATTGTATTGAACGTTTTGTAGCAAATGATTCTACAGTATTTTCACTAAATGCTTGTGATGCTTCAGACATTTCATCTTGATCTCGTTGATGCTGTTCAGCTTGTTCCTGTTGTTGTTTTCGTTGTTGTTCACCATCAACAATAGTTGCAACTATTTCATGCAGTATACGTTCAGCACTTTGTGTGAATGCCATTTCTTTATTATTAAGCCAATTGACAACAAACAATGGTTTATCTGATTCTTCATGATGATGAAGACGTTGTTGATGGCCATGTCTTGAAGATGATGAAATATTTCCACCACCGCCACCAGGAGAATCGAAACCATCATTTTGACTAACGGTCACTTTTGGACCAAGATTACTTTGTGAATGTATATCACTTTCTGATGGATGTTGTGTCAAACTGGGCACAAGTGGAATATCACTTTCAGCATTAATCGAAGCGGTTAAATGGAAATGAACACCACCAGGTGTGATTGCCGTTCCATGGACACCATATCCATGAAAATCATGACAAGAATAAGTTGATGGAAGATTTAATATAGGAGTACTATCATTCAAGCCATTTTGTTGCTGTAAGTTACTACTAGAATCTCCATGATGATCCACAAGATGATCATCGCTTTTATTATGATGATGATGATGATGATGATGACGGAATACCGATTTTTTATGACGAAAAAAATGTAAAATTTTTTGTCTATGACGTTGTGTTTGAGCACGTGGTGTAACAATATCGGAAACATTATCCAATTGTGAAACATTGACCAAATCATCTTCTGGTAGAAATGTTTGTACCCACAATCGGCAAATATTATCACGACATGAAGTGACTAACATGTTGGCCACAGAGCCTCTGGGCATATATTTGCTTACTTTACGCCACGATATTCCAATTACAGCACGTGGATGTGGAATATAAATAAAACTATAACTTAGATTCGAACGATATGATTTTCCATGACCAACATTTGGAATTGTAGAGAATGATGATGATGATGATGATGATATCAACGGATCTGTTGAGCCTTGTGTATCGAATAAATTTGATGGATAATTTGGTGTGGTTGTTTCATACCAGATTTTCACTAAACGATCAGAACGACCAGTGGAACAGAATAAAGTACCATCCGGTGAAAATGAAAGATGACAAATTGGTGTCGATGTCTGACATGACCAAATACAGTTCCAACCATCTTTTTGCGATATTGTTGTTGTATCTTTGATTGGTTTCATTCGTATACCTTCATCATTTGATGATTTTTGTTGTTGTTGTTGTTGTTGTGATTCACAGGTATTAGTATTGCCATCAATCGATAATGATGATGAATGCCAAAGTTGTATCTGTACACCACCGATCAATAATTTAGTGCCTTCAATATTCCATGATAAAACACTAACAGAACAATTTGGTTCAATTTCACCCGTTTTTATCCATCTATAATCCAAACGATGATCGGAAATCTGATCAGTGATTGGTATTGGTTCAAAAATAGCTATACGATTTGTTATACCACTATGGTTGACGATTGCTGGCATCAATTGATTAGATCTGATTGGACCACCATAACAAGCGGCAATTTTTCCAACATCGTTTGATGCATCAACACAATTAACTTGAACATTTCCATTCAATGTTCCAGGTATAATTTGTATTGGTTCAAAATTACCCGATAATATTACGATATTACAACCAGAACAATAAACAGTAAAATTAATACCATCAATACAACCGGTTGAATAGGTATTATCGCCAGAATTAACAGCACCGGTTAATATCTGATGACATTTCATTTTTTTGCGTGTGTGTGATGATTATATTGGACCAATATATTCAAATTATGAATTCTTCATTGCACTGAATGATGATACGTATTTGGATGATGATGATTTCCTTTCGTTTTGCAATGATGAACTCTGTAATAACGATAAATTAATATATGAGTAAATGGTTTTTCAATAAAAAAAAAGAATCACGGAAAATAAATCAAAAACAACAAGAAAAAGAAAATTGAAAACAAAACCAAGCAATTCCACCCACTAAACTATCAAATTTTTTTTTTTGCTAAACAATTACTACAATGGTTAATAATTTTTTATTGCCTATCCTTGATTTTATCGTTATAAAAGTTGTTGTTGTTGTTGCTGCTGTTTATTATTATCACCCACTTTGACAACAACAACAACAACAACAACAACCAAATATCCAATATACCACATACTAATGTATCGATTAATAGAAAATTCAGAACATGAAATGAATATATCTAGTCAATATATTCAATTTCAAACTTACAAAACATATCAAGGATGAATGATGAATGAATGAAAACCGAGAAAAAGGAGTATAGATTTCTTTGCAATCAAATCATTTATTGATCACAAGCAAAACTAAAACTAAAAAAAAATGACAAATTGTTTGTTTGAATATTTGTGGATTTCATGTTCATTATCAATTATTCTCTGAAATCAAGAATATAGAATGATAAAGATGGACAAAAAAAACCCAAACAAGAATAATAAGAGCATGCGTTCAAGATGAGAAATTAAACAGCAAAAAAAAATTGGAATGTCATGGGCAGCTTTTGGATCTGGTTCATAGTTTAGTCAAGTTTTTACTACTACTGCTGCTTCAATTTAATTCGGTATTCTCATTTGGAATAATACATAATAGCCATTTTTGATTTACTTTCATGTTTGCCATTTTTATATGCACACACTACAACTTCTATACAGCTGGATCCGAATCTAACGGTATTGTTAGATCGGGTCTGTGAAAAAAAAATAACAAAATGTTCCATGGTAGCAGTTTAGAATCTGATAAAGAATTAAAAGAAAAACGATTCAAAATTCTATATACAATCTTCTATTGTTCCACCATAGAGTTCATATATTCAGAAAAAAAACATTCGATTTTTACCACTTATTTATGCTCACCTTTTTTTAGGGTTGTTGAGAGAGAATATAGGAATTTGAGCCAAATGATTGAATTTTTGAAATGGAATTCAGTTTGATTTGAATTTTATTTTAATTTGATTTGATGATTTAAGAAATTTTCGAGATAAACAAGATATAAATACCTGTTGCAACAAATTACAATATATGTACGTGATATGTGAATACAAAGGTATACACAGAAAAAAAACAATTGAAGAATCGTTTTTCAATTGATAAAATTTTTAAAAAAAAAAGTTATTTTTTAACGAAAAAAAAATTGTTGACGTTTTATTTTTGATTGTAAACATTTAATAATGATAACAAAACCAAAAACTCAATATTGAACGGTATTTATAAATGGAAAACACCAATGAAAAAAAAACGACATTACATCCTATATGAACGGGTATGATGAAAATGTTTTTTTTTCGAATACCGCATGCGTCAACCACTGCCACACACTCACACACAAGCAGACAAACAACACACATGCACACTGAAAACGGAAAACGTTTGTGTTCCTTTTTCGATTGAGCTGTGGCATGTGGTGTTTGAATACTGTGGTGTTTGTTCGTTTGATTTGGATTCTTTTTTTGGATTAATATTTTTTTTTGTTTTCAATTCTTTGCCCAATTCTCTCCAGTAAAAAATGGTTATTTCAATTTTAATTAAATATTTTTATCCATTATTAATTATTAACATTTAATTTTTGAATATTAGGGTGTTGATATTAATCATAAACATGATCGTAAAGTTCGACGATTAGCACCGAAAAGCAAAGATCCATATCTTTTGCTTCTTGTCAAAGTTTGTATTGTTTTTTTTTCTTAATCTTGAAATTATTGAAAAATTTTTAATTCTTTTTTTTCATACAAAAAAAATTAGCTTTATAGATTTTTGGCTCGTCGTAGTGGAAGCAAATTTGCTAAAATTGTTTTACGTCGTTTATACATGAGTAAAATTAATCGTCCACCGCTATCGCTTCGACGATTGGTGAGTCATTTTTTTAGTCAATTTCATTTATTGAAAAATCTAAATCTAAATGTCAATTATTTTTTCAGGTTCGACACATGAGCGCTGAACAACGACAAAATAAAATCGCTGTTATTGTTGGTACAATTACCGATGATGTTCGATTGTTTGAAGTACCAAAAATGACCATTGCTTGTTTACGTTGTACTAAACGTGCCCGTGCTCGTATTCTAAAAGCTGGTGGTGAAATCATTACATTCGATCAATTGGCTCAACGTGCACCGACTGGCAAAAATACTGTATTATTGCAAGGTCCACGTAATGCACGTGAAGCCGTAAGACATTTTGGTCCAGCACCAGGCGTTCCTGGTAGCCACACTAAACCATATGTTCGTTCACGTGGCCGTAAATATGAACGTGCTAGAGGTCGTCGTGCATCAAGAGCATATAAGAAATAATCGAAAATTTGGATTTATGTGTTTGTGTGTATTCATGAAAATTTTTTATTATTATTAATTGATTGACATCTAATAAAATTGATTTATACACACAAACACACACACTATAATGGTTTGGATTTACTTTGGTGGCTATTCATTAGAATTTTAAGAAAACGTGTCTCTTCAGCTAATGCAGCTGAATCTTGTTGTGATGCCAATTGCCATAGAAGTAATGTTTTATCATCATCCAGATTTGTGGATGGATTATCAGCTGTTTTCGATGCACGAAAACTATTCCATGGAGGATTTAAACGTTGAATTTTATTGTTATTTTTATCAACATTTTCTGCATTCATCGGTTGATATTGTTGACGCATCATATAGCCACCATTGATTAAACTGTATATGAATCCTGATCCAATATCCTGTTGTCCTGTTGATTTAGTGGTCATCATTGTTGTCCATGATGATTGAGCATTGCCACCAAGATTCATTATTTGGCCACAAAGATTACAAACAATAGAATCACGTAATTCACGTAACAATTTATATTGTTGTTCCAATTGATTACGATCCATGGCCAATCGTTCATGATAAATTTGTGATTCATTTTTGGATTTTTCCAAATCAACGGTTTCTTTTTTCAATTCAGATCGTAATCTTTCAATTTCATCCATTGCAGTGACAACATCCATTTTTTCTTTCAAAGCCATTTGGCTTAATTTTTCCAATTCTTCAGCACGTTGTTCCAGTGTTTTTCCCAACATGGTCATTTGTTGTTTTTCATGATCAAATTGTCGTTTTTTCATTTGTAATTGTTGTTGTTGTTGTTCAAGATTCAATGATGATTTCAACGATTGTGATTCTTTTTGATCCAATTCTGTTTGTTTTTGTAGAATTTCTTCACTTTGTTTCGATATTCTTTCCTGTTCATTGTCAAGCATTTTTTTACGTTCATCATAAAGCTGTTCTAGCAGTAATCGTCGTTCTTCAAATAATGTGATTTCTTCTTTTAATTTTTTTCGTTCATCCATTAATTGTTGTGCATCAACACTTTCACGTTGGCGCCATTCCCTAACTTCTTCGGCGAATTTTTCTTTCATCGATTCCAATTCTTTACGTTCTTGATTCATTTTTTCTTCACACACTTTCATACGTGATTGTTCATCGTTAAAATATTTTTCATGTTCAACACGAATCATTGTTTCCAAATCATTACGTTGTTGTTGCATATCATTTAAAAATATTTTCCATCTTTCGTCAATTTCTGTCACTTTATTGGCCAATACATCATCACTATTGTTCATTGTTTGTAATCGTGATATTTCTTCTTGTTTAGCTATTACTGAACGTTGTAATTTTTCAATTTTATATGCACTTTCTTCCCATTTTGCCATCAATTCTGTAACACTTTTCGTTTGATTATGAACCAAATCCGATGATGTTTGTAATGATGATTCTGTTTCTGTGGATAATCGTTGTTCTAATCGTTTTAATTCCATTTCATGTTCTTCAATCATTCGTCTGGTAGTAGTATCATATTGTTCTTGTATATGTTCATTATCTTTTCGATATTCTTCTTCAATTTTCACTAAACGTTCATTGTATTTATCACGAATCATGTTCATTTCCTTTTCCGATTGTTTCAATTGATTTTTTAATTCAATAATTCTACGATCACGTTCTTCTTGTATCCTGTATATATAAATATATTACGATAATATAAATGAATTAATAAACGGAAACAACAACAAAACAAAACATTGATTGTCACCAATATTGTCGACAATTCGAATTGTTATCGAAAGATTAATTATGTACCGCAAATTATGTCCGGAGTCATATAATAATCCTATTTACACATCAAAATATCAATTCATGTTGAAATGGTTTTTTTTCACTGGTTTTTTATGTTTTTCCTGTTTCTATTTTTAGGTCAAAGAATTTTTTTTGTCCACATTTTCTTTGGATATTCGACAGGAACGTCAAAAAAAAAAAAAAAAAAATGCTCATCATATAAATGGATGTATGTATGTATGTTTTTTTCATCACTCGTAATCTCCATTAACTTGTGTTCATTCCATCGTCATCATCATTGTATTTTGGTTGTTGTTTGAATATATTTATAACAAAAAAAAAAAAACATCCATTCGAATGTTTCGAAAATTTTTTTTTTTTTTATCTTTCATCCACTATTTTTTTTTAACATCCATTGATGTGTACGTTTTTTTCAAGAAGAAGAAGATAAGATTCTTAATGATTTTCAATGATGGACAAGCCATAAATAAACATACATACACATAGTTGTATATGTATTTAATATTTAATGCACGTTGTTTCATAACAACAACAACGGACAGACCAAATACACATAGTCGAATGTGTTGTGATGGCCATTGGCTATAGATAATGAAAAAACCAGAAAAAAAATTGCACCAAACGAACGTGCGTATGTGTCCATGTCGTCAGAATCCTAAATCGAATGATGCAACAACAGATGTGTTGAAATATTATATATGAGGGCCGGATATTTTGTTTTCCATTTGATACATCATACATGAACGGTTTATTTTAATGATAATAGAAAGAAAAAAAACTTTTTTTTTTGGTTGAATGAATGAATACTTACATATTTTCATGTCTTTTATACATTTCTGATGTTAAATGCATCTGTTGTCTGTTGTGGTTGCATAACATGGTTGTTGTTGTTGGATATTTCAAATTCATTGCCGGTCATTCGATCAAAAATCGATTTGTTTCGATGAATTTGATGTTTGATCCGGAATTTTGATGATTACAGAGAGAGAGAAAAAAACAAAAATTATTCTGTTGTTGTGATGATTAGTGCAATAATAATCATACTAACTCATATAATGAAATCATAGCCTGTAATTCATCTTGATGATTACGTTTCATTTGATCTAAACTTTGTTCTAGGAATGATTTTTCCAATGTTAATATACGTAACTGAAAAAATAAAAATTGAAAATTGAAATTCAAACATTAATCATGGCAGCCATACTTTTGTTTGTAAAACAATCAATGAAGATTGTTGTTGTTGTTGTTGTTGTTGTTGTTGTCCATCTTGATTTATTATGATCGACGACATAATTTCCTCATTTGGAATGATCATGGAATTTTGTTGTTGTTGTTGTTGTTGTTGCTGTTGTTGAAAATTTATTGCGTTCAAATTTTCATCGATTCTTGGAAATCCAAGTTGATTTTGTTGCTGATGATGGTGTTGAATGTCTAATTTGTTGTGAATTATATCAGATTGATTTTCATTTGACTTCTGCTGCTGTTCGGTATCAGATTTACGATTTGAAAATGTTTGTCCATTTTGTTGTTGTTGTTGTTGTTGCTGTTGTTGTTTTTGTAGTTCAGATTGACCAACTTGAACAAATTTCTTGATACCGCTTAATGGTGATGATGATGATGATGATGATGATTTTTCAACATCCGATAATAATTTAGGCTGCCAATTTCTATTGATAACCGATGTCGATTTATTTACTGGCTCATTTGTATCAATAGTGATTGCTGTTGTTGTTGTTGTCGATGGAGATAGAGATGGAGATGGTGTTAATGTTGATGTTTTTAATGGATCTGTATCTATTAGGAATGATGGCCGATTCTTAGATGTTAATGTTGTTGATGTCGAAATAGAATCCTGATTACTTTGCCTTGATTGACGAGCTTTTAATCCTGATGTGATCCACTCTGGTTCATCTTGACTAGATGTTTTTGTTGTTGATTTTTCATTTGATTTTTTATGGGTGTTATTATCATCATCACTTGATCCACCAACACCACCACCACCACCACCAAGACCAAGCCAATCAGATTTGGAACGAACATTTGATTGTTGTTTTTGTGCTTGTTTTGTATTATTCAACAATGAATCCAATGCTGTACTATGTGGTCGAATTGATCTTGATTCTTGTGTTTGTGTTGTGGATAAATCATCATCGAATCCTTCATCAAAAAATCGTACAGATTTACGTTGTCGTGGTGATGTTGTTCTGGATGATAATGGCAATAGATCATCATTATTATCATTTGAACCAAGTAAATCATCAAGAAATGAACGTGATGATGAACCAGATGCTGATTTAGGTCGTGATGCCATTCAAAAATTTCTGAAAGATTGGTTGTGGTTTCGTATTTTGCGTGTTTTTTGTTTTTCTAATCCGAATAATTTCATCTGAAAAAAATAACAGAAAAAAAAAATGTCACCATAGCGACAACCACCATCCTTTTTTTGTTGGATGAAAAACTAAAACGACACACATGGGTGCATATAGCATATACACACACACTGTTGTTTCATTCTCACGAGAAAACAAAACAGGAATATTTTTGAATTTTAATTTTCAAATTTTTATTCGCTGTTGTTTGACTTTTGTGTTGTTACACACACATTTCCATGTTTTTTTCAATATTCAATTCAAATTCAACGACCGTTTATCGAATTTTTAATGATTCAACACCATAACTATTTGCCATTGTAACAACAACAACAACAACAAACAGACAAATTCTTCTCAACTTGATTGTATTGAATCAATCATTATCATTCATTTTGTTTGTCTTTACTAGTGTCTAGTGTCTGCTGTGTGTGTGTGTGTGTGTATTCTGAATTCTGTATGTGAAATCAAATTCCTGGATTCGATTCACATGAATGCACTACTTTTTGTTTTGTTGTTGTTGTTGAACTATTTGATTACAATTGAATCACAATTTTCTCTTGTTCAGGAATTTTCAATTTTCAATTAAATCCAATAATAATGCTTTCAATAATCGTGCTTCATATGTAACGGTATTCTTGCCTGGATGTAATGTTTCCAATTCTAATGGTGCTTCAACAATGGCTTTAACATTTTGGCCATATTGTTCACACATTGATAAAAATTGTATACATTCTTGTAGTACAGAATCTTTGATAACAATCACCTGTTTGGCCAGATTTTCCAACATTGCTAGAAAACAACGTTTTGCATAGAACCATGTATCGGTACCCAATTTTTTTGGATATGGATCCAAACTTTTTATAACACGTGATATACCAAATTCATAATTTCCTTTGGAACAATATAATGTACCAATGACTAGATTAACGATACATAAATGAAATATTTTCTTATCCGGATCACCATAAATTAATTGTTCTTCTTCTTTTTCAATTTTTCTCATCAATTCTTCAGCATCTTCATTCTGGCCAGTCATTATATATGAAACACAAAGATTGGCAAGTACAATGGCGCTCACTTCCAATATGTTATCATAATTTCGTTTGACAAGCTGTTCATAGAAACCGGTTGCTTCTTTGAATTTATTTTCCTAAATAAATGAAAAAATAGATGATGATGATTGATTCATTCATAAATTCGATGTGATTCTAATAATAAACAAACAAATACCTGCATGAATAGTACATGTGCAACATTCAATTTCCATAGATCTAATTCATTACAGAATTCAGCAGATTTTCGAAACACTTTTTCCACTTGTGAATAACATTCAATATCCCAGTAAATTTTTGCCTGTGCCATTAACACTGGCAAATAAAGTTCTATCACTTCATCGAATGAATGTTTTAATTTTTTCATTATTTCATTCTGTTTTGCCACAATATTTGCATCATCATTTTTGACGATTTGATTTTTTGCATCCTGAATTTGTTTACTCAATTTACGTAACGAGTCCATATGTTTGGTGGCTATTTCATCGAATTTTTGATACGCATCTTCTGGCGATGTTTGTTGTGTGATCAATGCATCTAAAAATTCATATAGATATGGTGATAGATAACGATATGTGAACGATGCATTTTCGGCCATCAAATCGGCAGCCAATTCATAATATTCATAACGACAATATAATAATAATAGATTTGCAAATGTTTCCACTTGAAATGTTTCCTGTCCGATAAGAAATTGTAATTTTTCAAAACCTTCAGCTGGATTTGTATCCATCGATATTAGTGCCATGTTGTGCAATGTAACGGCATCCAATTCTTCTTCCGATCGTGGTGGCATATCTGTTAATGCTTCTTTGGCTGCATCTAAATTTTTTAATTGATATTCAATTGCAGCTTTTAGATTGAATGCTTCCACCAGTATTGATTCATGTAATACTTCTGTATTGCCAACACTACGAACTTCAAGACCTTCAGTATTCATACCGACAGATAATTCTGGATGTTCACGAATTCCTTGTTCAATTATTTCACCAATAAATTTCATTGCATCGGAATATTGTCGAAGATGATAATAACAAACGGCAAGATTATAAAGCAGATCAGGTATTTGATTGATCATTGAAGAATTGGTAGTACTGCCGCTGCTGCTGCTGCCACCTACACTAGTAATGGTAGTATCCGTTCCATTTTTATTCATTTCAGAAGATTTTCTGTCCATCATAATCATTTGGCCAACACCACCACCACCACCACCACCACCACTACTGCTATGAGCATTCGTACTACGTGAATTGGATAGATTTATATTTTCCATTTGTAATGCATTACGAAATTTTTCAATAGCATCATCATAACGTTTTTCTTTGAATAATAAACAGCCAAGATTTGTTTCTTTATCAACAACATTATCACCATTATCATCGGATAATTGATCGATTAATAATTTTGCATTTATATTATCATCATCATTTGTGTATTTGATTGCAGCTTGAATTTTAATCAATTCATTATGTGCAAATCGATCATATGATGATGATTGTTTCTTATCATCATCATGATCATCAATATGAAATTTTTCCGAATACTGTGCAATAGTTTTCAATGCTTTTTCATATGATCCATATTCATATAAACATTTTGTATAATTTAGCCAATAATGATGTTCATTTGGATAGATTTCAATCAATTTTTCATAATATTGTTGTGATTGTTCAAATTCTTGTAGAATATAATGGCAATATGCTAATAATGATAATGCTGCACGTGAATTTTGATTCAAACAAAGTTCATCATTCAATACGGTTATGGCTTCTTTGTAGTTGCCTAAAACAAAATCGTGAAAAAAAAAAAATGAAAACTTGAAATCATCAACATCATCATCATCGTCATCATCATACCTTCTTTGATCCAAGTATAGATTGTTTTTGTTTTCTCACCAGATTTTATTTTGGCCAAACTAAGTCGATGTCTTATCATTATGGCGATGACGATGACGATGATGACGATGATAATGATGATGGATCGAGGATAAAATCTTAAAAGTTTACCATTCAAATGTGTTAGTGAGCCGTATGGAATGAAAAAGTTTTTTTTTCGTTGCCGTTATTTGTTGTTGTTGTTTTTTTGTTGTTGTTGAAAACAAAAATCTCTCTATGGAACGATTGGTTGTCATGGCAATGAAAATGTTTGCTGCTGCTGCTGCTGCAGCACGAATGGTGAATTTAACGGTAAAAACAACAACGATGAACAATGATAATAAATTATTGTGTGTGTGTTGTGTTGTTTTTACAACCAAAACAAGAGATTGCGAGGAATTTGGAAAAAAAAAATTTTCCATTTCATTCATTACAAAACTTTTAAAACTAAACTAAACTAATTTTAAAGTTTTTCAAATGGGGGATAAAATTTTGTTTTTTTTTTCGTTTGTTTGCTTGTTTGTAAACACCATATACTGACAAGTTGAGCAGAAACTAATGATTTTTGTTGTTGTTGTTGTTGTTGTTGTTCCAAAATCCAAAATGAAACACCCACATATGAAAATTTTCATTTTTTTTGAATTTTAAATTTTTCATTTCTTTGGAAATGATAATTTCAAAATTTTCCAGCCAAAAAAAAATTCATTCGTTATCATGGCCTGTCAAACAATAGTGGAGAGAAAAAAAATGATGATGATGATGAAATGGACATTGTCCAGTTGTAGAAAATGATGAATCATCTCTGTATCGTTATCATCATCAAATCCATGGAGAAACCCAACATTTGTACACATAAGATTCTTTCGTTCATTTTTTTCAACAAAAAAAAATTCGATTAGAAAACTTTTTTTTTTGTATCCAAAAGAAGAAAACTTTTATACATGCACGAAACGCTGAAAAAGTTGGAAAAATTTTCAAACTTTTTTGGTCACCATATGGATCACAGCATCAAAAATTTTTTTTGGTTGCAAGACCAATAAAAAGAATCGAAACAAATGTTCAAAAGTCACTTGAATATTGGCTTTTTTCAAGTTTTTCATGATGATGATGATGATGATGCTGAATAATTAAATAAATTTTTGGATGTGATTGTTGAGTGCAATTTTTGAAAAAAAAAGTTTCAAAAAATTCCGTAACAACAGAAATAATATGAATATATATGAATCACCCATCATCATCATCATCATCATTGTTTTTTCTGGTTTCCAAATCATAATATTTTTGAGCACTCAATTTTATTAAAATTTTTTCTTCCATTGTAATATTTTGCTAAAGCAAATTCGTGCGTGTTCTCAGTGAAAACCAAAAAAAAAAAAACCAATCGGCCCATGATGATGAATCGATTTTTTTTTGGCTTTCAAAGTGAACACGTTTGTTTTTCGTTTTCTTTTTTTTTTTTTTTTTTTTGAAACGAAAGAAATTCTGCTGCAGCAACAGAACAAAATTTACATTTAAACTTTAAAAAAAGTTGGCTTCACTGTCAAAAATCATGACGAGATTTTCATTTTCATTTTCATTTTTTATTCGTCATCGTCCAAATGGCGAACTAAAAAAAAAAAAATTCATCATTATTATCGGTATCTGAATATGACGACCACTTTGAACGGGAAATGAAAAATGGATTACAACCAACATGATGATGAGTTGGACAATGTTATTTTAACGGCAACAAAAAAAAAAAAGTTTTTCAGGAAATGGAGAAAAAAAAAGTTTTTTTTCCATATCATATATATCCTGTCTGTCTGTCTGTCTGTCTTGTTGATGACATCGAAAAAAAAATAATTACAACTAAAACGTAAACTGGAACACATCGAAGAGAGAGAGAGAGAAACGAATCTTCCAAATGTCAACGCTAAATAGAAAACCAAAAAAATGAAAAAAAAACCAGAATAATACAGCAGCAGCAGCAGCAGCGCCACCAACTAAATGAAGATTAATGATAAAAATGTAGAAAAATAAAATGAAAAAAGATGGACCATGATGATGATGATGATGATCATCATCATTGATACAAATGTGATAATTTTTTTTTCTCTCTCACAGTATTGATATGAATTCCTGAGAAACTTTTCTGATTCCAATATTTTTTTTTGTTTGTTTGTTTGTTTGGACCAAAGGAAAAAAAATTATCCGGGAAACTATTTCCTCAAATGTTTTGGCACGCATTTTCAAATTACAATCCTGGATTTTTTCCATCTTCATCTTCTTCACCATTTTCAAATGTAAATTTTCTATTTTTCATTTCGATTCTATTGATAATATATATGTGTGTGTGTGTGTGTGTGGCGATGCAATGCTTTTTTTTGTTCAAAATTCTAGAAATTGAATGTCGATTCTTTTTTTTTTTGTTGCTTGGCAAGAATATATAGAAAAAAGATCGAATGAAACTAAAATCAACAATGATGTTCATTGATGTTTTTGAAATGGAAATGAATCAAATTCAAATTCAAATTCATCATGAATTGAAATTTGATATATGGAGAATGTAGAGTGAATAATAATAATAATAAAAAAAGAATCATGAAATTGAATGGGAAAGAATTGGAAATTTGGAAATTTTAATTTTGAAGAAAAAAAAATTCATATTTGATTCTTTTACATGTTTGTTTTTTTGGTACTTTCTGTAATCGACACGATAAGTGACTTAACCGATTATGATGATGATTTTGTAGTTATAAAATACAACAACAACAACAACAACAACTGGGGCCTAAATTCTTTTTATTTTTTACTGTAAGAAACATTACGGAATACTAGAATGCTAGAATCATTGTCGTCATCAACAACACGAATACAAACACACACACACATGTAACGTATATTCATTTCGAATTCTAAATAATATTTGCATTCACTTTTTGATTTCCCTTGACAATTAATATTCTGGTTCGTTTTTTTTTCTATTCACCAGTGCTTGGAGTGTGTGTGTGTGTGTTTGTTTGTTTGTTTTAGGTGAATGTAAAAAAAAGGAATCCACCATATATTGGGCCCAATATAGGTAACCAACGTAAGCAATAATTTTTTCTTTTTTCATTTCTTGGAAACTAGAAAAAACAAACCAAAAAAAAAATGGATGATGCTTTATTCTTTCTTCTAATTTCTTCCATCACAACTTTTTTGATCGATAAATCGATCTGGTGTTTTTTTTAAATTAAATTTTTCCTATCGATTTGCATAGACAAAATGCCGGCTTAAGTTTATACTACTGGTAGTAGTGTGTGTGTGTGTGTGTTTGAAAGGATTCAAATGATTTTTTTACCACAGTAAACAATTTACACTTGAAATGTTTGTGTGTAAAACGTGTAAATGGTGTTCATGTTCATTAACACGCCATTTTTATGTCTTTCTCTCTGTATAATAAAAATGGTGAGATGTAAAGAAAAAATTGAGTCGTATAAAAATCCAATCAAAATTCTTTTTCCAATTCTCTCTTTCTGTGTGTGTGTGTGTGTGTGTTCCAGAATTTGGCAGCAGAACATATATATAGCAAGAAAAAAAAAATTTTTTGTTTCATTTTCAATTTAACAAATTCACATCAACAACAACAACAACAACAACACTTGTAAATAATGAATGGTACACACATCTTTATTTTATTTTGCTTTCGTGTGTGTGTGTGTTGTGTTTCAAGTTGTAGTTGAAGAAAAATTGACAGAAAACACAAAATAGCCAACGTTCATGATGATGATGATGATGATGATGATGGTAATTGAATTAACCTTGTACGATATAACGATGTGTTTGTGTATTAGTTTATTTTGATTGAAATCTAATCAAAATTCCAATGTTGATAGTGAACATATATATTTATATCGATTTATCCAATATACCGGTATTATTTTTGTTTTGCACTATTAAATGATCAAAATACAACGTAAACAAAAATGAATCAAGAGATTTGTGTGCGTATGAAAATGAAATGAAAAAAAAAACTAATGAAACAGAATGGTGGAAAAATTTTTTTTTGTGTGTGTGTGTATCAAACTCACTAGGGCCAGAATCAAAAAAAAAAAAAAAATTCTGAACCTGAACATGATTACTAATCGAGAATATAACAAAATGTAATAGACGCAAAGTATTAACGAGTTTTTCATTCATTCATTCATTCATCATCATTATTCGTTATGGTAATCAAAAAAAAAAAAAATAGATATCCATTAACACACACAAACACTAATACCACCTTTCATTTACAGAATATTCTGATAAACAATTTTTTTTTCTCTTGATTCATTCATTCATTCATTGAATTTATCTATCTATTAATTAATTCACATCCATACATCTATCTAATGAATAACGGTTTTCTGTTTTTTTTTCAGTTTTTGTTTGTGTGTGTGTTTAGATTCTCGTTTACGACGCACAATGTGTATATTCAATAATGCAATATAATCAGGTTTTTTTTTACCATTTTCGTGACCATTCAGGTATGCGTGTGTGTGTGTGTTTTTTTTTTTTGTTTGTTTGGCTGATTCAATCAAAAAATGATGATGATGATGATGATGCTGCTGCGTAATGATGTTGTTGATAATGATGATGTTCCTGTTGGAACATATTGCAAGTAGTGTGTGTGTGTGTTTGGTGTGTTTGGCGTATGCATGGGAAATGAATATATATTCTTTGTCTATATGTTGTACATCCACTTGTTTGATGCGCATGGCTGATTATTATAAAAATAAATATTATATTCGACCTTATAACAAACAAGATCATCAAAACGACCCAAAACGACCAAAAAAAAAGAAAAGAAGAAGAAGAAGTAAAAAGAAATGAATCCTGGAATTTTTTGTGTGTGTTTCTGTATGTAAAGAAAAATGATGACGAAAATTGTGAAATGAATTCACACACACACACACACACACCGAGAGACATCCTCTTAACAAAAAAAAAAAAAAAAAAAAGAAAAGAATTGGAATAATGGAACCAAACAAAAAAAAAAGATGAAGGAAAACTTTTTTTTTCCTTGTGTGTGTGTGTGTGTATGTCCTTTCCTGTCTATAGAGAATGTCGACATCAACAAGGCATCATCATCATCATGATGATGATGATGATAATACCTGGAAAAAATGGTTGAAATGAATTATTTTTTTCTCTTTTCATTATGTTTCGTTGTTGTTGTTGTTTTTTCCGGG